CTCCGCATTAAAGAGAGAACTATTTTGTGGCGACGTATCTTTGCACCTGAATTTCGGTAACTCAGATCCGGGATCGTCTTCACGGTTTCTGAGGAGGCCATGGCCGTTCCCAGGATCAGTATCAGTGTCTCCAGGAATGGCGCACGGGTTCCGAGAGACAAAAGGGCTCCCAGGATGAGCATCAACCTTTCCCAGCCTGGCAAAGATGATTCTGCCATACGAGAAGCCCTGGGCCCGGTCATACTTGGTAGAGTATGTTCTCGATTGGTGTACTTGAGCGTGTGTTATAAAGCTTCGCCTCCCTTCCTACCAAACTGCATTAGCTTTCATACTACACAGGAAAGATGCTAGACAAACTCCCAACTGAACTCTTACTCTGGGTCTGCAAGATCCTTCGTAAAACGGACATCTCTTGCTTGATCGCTTGCTGCCGGAGAATGGCAGCAATCTGCACAGAAGCTCTATTTGATTGCCTCCACTACGATGAAATGCCACCCTTTCACCGAGCCATACTCAACCGACGACTAGACATTGCGCGCCTGTTGTTGACTCATCACCACGCAAGTCCCAACTCCATGTACCGTGGGATAAGCACGCTTCTGCTCGCCATTGAGATGAGCTACCCACAAGCAGTTAACCTCATGCTGGAACATCACCCACGGCTGTCCTATACTTGCGACTTTCAAGGCCGAGGGCCATTGTCAATCGCAGTCGCGAAGGGCAATTTTGCCATCGTTGAACGCCTGTTGCAGCACCCACAACTGGATGTCAATGACCGATGCACCGATGGCATGTCCTCTTTGATGTACGCAGTGGAACACACCGAGCACGCCATTCTAAACTATCTTCTGACCGATTCCCGCGTGGATGTCAGCATCGAAGATTGCTTTGGGCAGAATGCGCTACACCTCGCAGTCCGAAAGGAAGACCATATCTCAGTGCAGATCCTAGCCCGAGACCCTCGCTTGGATGTCAATTGGTGCAGCACCCACCGGGATACGGCTCTACTTCTCGCAGTCAAAACCCTCAAGGGGAGTCCGTCGCGTCGGATAGTGGAGGCCCTACTGCTCAATCCAAAAACTGACATCAATCACGCAGATTTCAGGGGGCGCACGGTGCTATGGCACGCGGTGGACCAGCAGAATGAGGCGCTCGTGCAGCTGCTCTTGGACCAGGATGGCCTCCGTTTGAATGACGCGGATGATGGAGGTCTGACCCCTCTTGCGCGAGCAGCGGAGCATCAAAGCCCTCGCTTGCTAAATATGCTTCTGAGACAACCCAAAATATGTATCAATACCACGTCGAGCTTTTCCCCGCTGTGGGCTGCGTGTCGGGCGGGTTCGCTCGGGGCAGTCCAGAACTTGTTGACCCAGAGGTCCATTCAGATCAACGTAAAAGCCCCCTCTGGAACTTCGCCCCTTCACGTAGCTGTTATCAACCAACACTTAGATATTGTGTCTCTTCTTCTCTCGCAAGGTGAAATCGCATTGAATGAGGTTGGGCCCTCGGGCCTCACGGCCCTCATGTTTGCTGCTGCAAACGGGTATACTGCATGTGTTGAACGGCTGTTGCGCCACCCACAGATTGATCTCCAAGTTCAAGATCCTTACGGGTACTGCGCTTTCAGCTTGGCGATACTCAATAGACATGCTCGGGCAGTGGATCTCTTAAGCAGTGCATTTGTGCGGCAGAGAGCACAAAAATTAGGCTGCCCATCGAGCTAGCTTTGCCAAGACTGAGGGGAGGAGAAATAGAAAATTTGATTAAAGTTACTTTGCCAGACTGCTATACCCCCCATCCTAGAGTCAGATGACTCGGAAATTGCTATGTAGCACAGCTCAGCGACCATGGACGTTAGCCAACAGCCCACTGGAAAATGCGGCCCGCTCAATCACCGATTTCCCCGCCCTAGGAATTAATACTAGAGTGTATCACCCACAGGACTGCCTGTCATAAGACCCCATTGTTTTCTACCGTTTGCGCGTGATATAAGCGTGATCAGCCGTGGCTACAAGACACCAAGCGCCGGATAGAAGTCTCTGTGCTAGATTCACTGATGGCCCGTCCTCCGTCTATTGCAACAAGTGTATACAGTCGCTCGCCAGATACACCACGGCCAGACTCCTCAACGGCTACGCCTGCCCCGCGGGATGATCTTCCCGAGATTACACCACTGGACCATCGGATCTTTGTGGCGGGGAGAACGACCATGGCATTAGAGACGACAAAGACACACCTCAGTACAGCAAAGAGCGTGGCACCCCCGCCAGACCCAATCACTGAGAAGCGGAGCCAGCGCGATCAGCAAGCTCACGAAAATGAGTTCTACCGCACCTGTTGCGTGAATTTCTGCCATCTAGCGACAGCCGTGGTTGACATCACACAAAAGCTTGTATTGGAAGAGCAATTCCATTCTGACCAATTCACCCCAGTCAATGCACGCTTGTGCCGGGCTACATTGGCTCTTTGGGCAGCCTTGGACGCATCAAGGGTGGAACGCATCAAGGGTGAGGAGGACAGGGCGGAACGCATTTGGATGCAGGAATTGGATATGCCGACAGCTTCGGAGCCATCTTCCGAGTGGATCTAGAGGTTTTTGGCATCGTATGTGATTGAAGGTCGAGCTGGTCGAGTCTTGGGTATTGGGGTCCTGAGATTGTTCAGTGAGTTGTGAAAGGCGGGGCAACAGCCCTGGATGAGCGTTTCGAATGCGTATATTCGTTTCAGGTATGATGTGAGGGCCAGTTGGGCAGTCAGCTACCCTGGTCTGACGGTGGCAGTTGGCGGGTCAGGCTTTGTTGACGTGGCAATCACTTCTGGATGGCGGACTGGCCAATCATGGCGGCTTTTGGGGACCAACTCGGCAACTTCAGTTGAACCCCCTGTCGGGTTTTCAAAACCCTGGTCCAGACCTGGAAATATATTATTCTAATTCTTGTATGTGGTCTGTTTACATCGAAATTCCTGGTTAGAAAGTACGAACATTTATCCTCGTTCAACTCATTTGCCTAATAAACGCAGTTCTGCCCTGTTTATTAGGTTGTAAAATTCCTCAACATTAAGCCACACGAAATATATATCTCAGATTTCATGCAATCATAGTGATATAACACATCACGATTTCTAGCAAATGACAAAGCCTCGATATCCGAATTTGATCGCGACTGCAGATCTTTTAGAGCCTCTGAGGCACTTGGGTATAAATTCGCTGTCACGTAGTCTGGTAATCCCAAGGTTGGTCAGGCTGGTGAAGGCGGGCCACTTGAAGGCTCAGACAGCTAGGGTCAGCCGGCATCTTCCTAATAACCTCAAACAGCCGAGGGAATTGGCCTTTCAATATAGCACCATAGCCTTCTAGTCTAGTCATATTGCAACTACTTCCGGCTCTGTGGGTACTCGTGGTACGGTCGCTTCATGCCGTCCCTCTGCAGCCTGGCTTTCATGTTCTGACCTAACGAAGAGACCCAAGGCTTCCAGGGCCTTCAATCAAGACAGCTTCGCGCCAGCTGCGCGATCAGCCTCGCGTTCGACGTGAACGTTGCAAACTGCAAGAGCGAGCGGCCCTTTGCGTCGCGCTGGCTCACCATCGATTGTGGATGAGAAACTAACAGCTCAAGGATCGCGTCGCGTCTGGGCTCAAAGCCATCGTACATCTTGGCCGCGAGAAGCAATGCGCTGTCCCCTGCAAAGTTGGACCGATCGACATCGAGAGATGTGTGCTGCAAGAGGACCTGAACTGCATGATGATCGTCGTATATCACCGCCAGATGGAGCGCAGTGTGACCTTGGCCATCTGTGATGTGAACATCGATTCGCGGGTCACCCAAGAGGATCTCCAAGATCTCGTGCTGTTGATACTCTAGAGCCGTGAAGAGCGTGGGCTGGCCCTTCGGTCCGCTGCTGTTGACATCGATGCCGTGCTGAAGGAGTTGAATCACGGCTTGCATATCTCCCCGATCAATTGCAAAGAACAGTGCATTCTGAATAGACTGTCTGCAGCAATGAGCTGCGGGACGCTCTTCGTATGATGGCGAGGAGCCTGGTAGAACGGGAAGTCAGCACCCGCACTGACACTGGAATAAGATGACCAACCGATGGTATGGAGGTGGTGCGACATCTCCGACATATAGTGAGAGGCTGTTTCGGATGAGGTGATGGAGGCGCCGAACAAACTTGTCGATGGAGGAGCAATGCTCGACCTTGCAGGTCCGACCGAGTATTTATAGAAGCCACTACGATGAGCATATTCTAGCAATGTTCATTCTTCTGGCTGATCCGCTCTGCTTTACCTTTGAGCATGATGGAATTCGATTGGGGTAGAACCGCAGAAAATGAGGCCTGTGGAACAGACAGGCTGTTCCCAGGAACTCTTGTGCTCCCAGGAGTCTCCATGCTCTTTGTGAGGATCTCACGTATCGTTGGATGAGGAGCGTGTCTTCCGAATGAATAATCAATATTATGAAAGGTATAGTCGACTCTAGATACAAGACGTAGCGCGAGGAAGCAAAAGAAAGGTAGCTTCCTCGCGTTCAGGGGAACCCAGATAAGCTATGTGGGTCCACATCCTCCTCTTATCGTATATACCTCATGTTAAGTCTCTGACAATTTCAATCACTCTCATGTTCCCCTCGTTTGTGGTGGCAAATGTACGGAGCTCGTTAAAATCGTGACGGCGAAATTCGTTGAAGGCTATGGTAAGGCGAATAGTCGAATCTCACCACCTCGAAAATTGGCCGCTGTGCATAAGAGAGGACTGGTAAATGAACTACGTATAATAAATAAACATCACCGTTGATCACATTTTCCTTACATGTCCAGTACATGTCGAGTGTTCATCCGCGAGTCTAACATCACCATCGATCAACTGTTGAGCTCCAACGGGTTATCCAGATTCCAATATGGTGGGTCTGGCCACGTAGAGGCTGGCAATATCATTCCATCTCACCACTGGTGATCCAAGCCTTTTCTGTCGTCACTCAACGTCTCACCATTTACCTATTATGGCTATGGTGGAGCCTGCGGGTGTTGAAGACCGGCTTGGTGAGCAGTGGGTCTCATTGGCTCAACAGGTCAGTGTCTCCACATATTGTCGACCCGTGGGTACGAAAGCAAGATCTTATTCGGCCAGATTTTACGGGATCATGCCGCTTCAATGGGAATACATGGTCTATCTTAAAAATTCTCATCGAGGTATGTCTGGATATGAAGTATTGTCGCTCATTCTGACTTGTTCATGTTGACCTCCTGGCGGTAATGAAATGAGTCATATGTGGAAACATATATCTCGGTCTTTTTCTGTTTGCAGACATGTCATCATGATTATTCCATGTATGACGAAAAGTCAAAATTTTTTTTTACGTATAATTGTAGAATATGTATGTATATATTGGAACCACGATAGTTTTTGATTTCATGGATCATCGTTGGAGACAAGGAACGATTTGCTCTGATGGTGAAGGGGTAGAAATGTTCACCAGCATTCCATTCATCTTACCTCAAAAATCCGTCAATAACGTGCTTATCGAGAATTTACATCGCATTATAGTGCTGCTTACAGGGTGCCAGTTGTTTCGCAGATAACCACTCTGTAGGGTGAGATCATACAATCATTATGACGGAAACGTCACATCAACGGCTGCAAGCGGAATCGTCCCATGCGGTGAGTGACACAAGCTAGGCCATTTCGGCGCTAGCGTTCTAATGCGGTATGACAAATGTAAAGATCACCAACCAGCCTTGATGCTTCGTGACCCCGCTCTCCATCACTTGAACCCCTGGAATCCTACTTGAACTCCATTCTGCCTCCCACCTCTGCATGTTTTACTACCAGCCGTAGCCTGCGACTTAAACATGGCTGACGATGCGCCGATTGCTGTGGACTCAAATATCTACCTCAATACTTCACGCGATGATTGGGAGTCGGAGACCACTTCAATCAGCTCCTCCATCTACAACGGTATTATACAGAATGGTAGAAGACACCAGACTTTCAAAAGCGAATACTGCTATCCGTCCGATGAACAGCAGTTCGAGACATATGAGGCTACTCATATTGCAGCTCTGATCGCGGATTCTAGCAGGCCAAACCCGCTTTTTCAGTCTTCTTTTAGCTCATCACCTAAACATATCCTTGATATTGGGACTGGGAAGGGGTCTTGGGCCATTGATGTGGCCGATATGTTTCCTAAAGCAACTGTTCGTGGGGTTGACTTGTTCCCACCCCCGGTATCGTGGGTTCCCCCTAACTGCATTCTCGAGGTGGATGATGTTCTACGTGAATGGACTTGGAGCGAAAAGCTTGATTTGATTCATCTTCGTGTAATGCAGTGTGCATTCACCCCCCGAGAGATAGAGAACTTGATGGCAAGATGCTTCGAAAATTTGGAGCCTGGTGGTTGGATTGAGCATCTCGAGCTTCATCCGAATCTTTACTGTGATGACAATAGTATTCCACTTGAAAGTATCCTTTCTGGCGTGGGGTCTACCTGGGACGCTGCTGCTCATAACTCTGGACGACCCATGAACATAATTACGACTATGCGAGCATCAATCGAGAAGGCGGGCTTCATCGATATTCACGAAACAAATGCTAAATGGCCACTTGGGCCATGGGCTAGAGACCGAACTCTAAAGGAACTTGGAGCTGTTAACCTACAGCACTGGCTTACTGGTTTGGAGGGATATGCGATGCATTTGTTCACTAAATACGGCAATCCAGCCCCCTGGACCAAAGAGGAAGTTCGTACATAGCACAGATTCGAAAGGACCTACTGAACCCTTATTATCACGCCTACCAACGAGCCCGGAGAGTCTGGGGGAGGAAACCATATTTGAACGAAAAAGACAATAGCCAGAAGGGTGAAGAATAAGCGGTCGTTCGGACGTCTCTTTCCCAGATTGAGTGGCAAATCACTTCCCCATATGGACCAGGAAAAGAAAATTAGGATTTGAATTCGGCTTCCGATTGTAATGGGCTATAATAGTAATGCCAATGAGCAATCTACTGTGGCGCAAATCCTTTGTATTGGGTCGGTATGGGGTGTGTTATAGATCCTCAGACCGCTTTCATCGACTGCTTTGACTATAGCGTGCAAGGACAGAGGACGGCACCATGCATGACTTAGATAATTGAAGATAGTTGAAACATTCTCAGGCGACTACAGTATCCCAAAGGATATAAAGCTTTGCGCTTCGTGGTCCAGATTCGCGTTTCATGCTCGAATCAGCAGATGCGCTGATTCCTTGTGTTATGTATAAGAGATTCGCAGTCTTCAACTCGTAAGACCTGAACTCGCTGTCTCAAGTGATATATCCTAATACGCAGAAGCAACTTGTCTATTCCGAATATAATCGTGGTGGAAACCCGCTGGTCGGGACGCCCTGGGGAGTGACTGACAAGCACTAGATGAATGTAGTGCGAACTGCATCAAAACTTCGAGAGTTGGGTGCTGGACACATATCAAACCCCGGACGATCCTGATGAATAAATGGCTGGCCAATGAGCTACCCGTACTAGATCAATAGCCTCAATATATTTTGATACATATCATAAAGGCACTAGTCAGTGTCGAGTAATACTGGGGTCTCAACTTCTGTTCCGACACTCGTCAGTCAAACAGATTACAAACAATATCTTGACACAAAGGCTTTATATTGTGGATTACTCGATTGTATAGTTGCCAGAAAGTTGCATAGCACCACAGTAGCAGTGAATAACTCCACGTTGCCCCGGCAGGTACTGATTGATAGCGAAAGGACTACAGCTATTATAATTTTCTCATGCCGGAAACTTTGCAGACCATCTTCACTGCAGTATCTGGTGCTATCTTTTGCATTCTTCACGGAGTGTTTACATCATTGGTCCTGAATAGCGGGATATAGCAAAATCGGAAATGGGTTATACGCTTGTAATGTTGGCTATCTATTGATGCCAGACTATCTGGGCGCAAAGCTTTTAGTTTCTTCTACGCGGTTTACTGAACAAATGTGTATAAAAGAATGTAAAAGAGGTTTGTTAGTATCGTAGCATAGTGAATACATAATTTATTTGAGGCATATGCGGGAAGGATTAAGCAAAAGGTACTGACTCTACCACACAAACGGTTCTGGATCGTCTGTCTATATGACTCTCAAGTCTCTCCGAGTACGACAGAACCAGCACGGATTATGGCGTACCTCATCACTATGTAAACATTGAAAGCAAAACAATTCTTCTATCAAAGCTCAGGCCACGCTGGGCAAATCTCCCAATTCATTATTCAATCCCACAATTAGCAATCAGGACTCATACGCGTTTCCAGCCCCCAATATGATCTCTTATCCCCTCCATGTATAGTGGGGAGACTTGGGGACAGCCTGGCACTTTGAAAATTATTTGCCAGCTTTTACCCTCGCATAACAGATGCAGCACACATATTGGGATCAACGCGCCGGCTTCTGAGATTCTGCCTCCTATACCATACCCGCGGGCTGCTCGTAGAACGCGGAACTTCCGTTCACACGCAAAGCAATGTTTTGTTTGCACTAATCCCTTCTCGAACACTTGTCTGATTGCTTTCTTGGAGAGGATGGTGGTTCGCCAAGGATGAATCGCGTCGCGCACGTAAAGAACTATTTTCGGAATGTTAATATCCTTGTTATCCAGACTTTTGTAGGTAGTTTTCGGGAGTGTGATGGTAAACTTTGTTTTGTCGTAGACATAACCGGGACGAAGAGACTGGAAAAGGAGGTCTGTGCAGTTTCCGAGATTACCCTGTCGATCATTCGTGACCAGAAGAACATGAGGATGGTGGGAACCTATACATCTCAACGCCCAAATCATGTCTAGATTTGGCGAGATGAGAGCTGGGCTCGCTCCCACTTCGAGCGCTTTCTTGATCCAAGTTTCATTTCGAAAAGTGGCTTGCCGCGGTCTGTCCCCTTGATTTTCTCCGAAGATTGACGAATCCGACTTGTTCTGTGCTGGACGAGGTAGCAAAAGATCCAGCAAAAAGCCAATGATGGCCCGTTGATTCTCACGAGGCATTTTCCGTTTATAAAGGTCATGGGGAGATGGTCGTGGAGATAGAGGAACTGGAAAGGTAGACTGGTGAATGATCTGAATCTTGATCATCTGTTTTCCTGCATGAACATCTTGACGCTCTAACAGGATTTGGTGCCAAAAGCCCTGAATGATCGCAGATACGTACACGATGGCGCAGGAACATGACGTGAATCCAACGTGGTTTTCCTAATATATTCATCGAAAGCGTATTTTTTTGAGAACTCGATTTGTCACGTAATGTAATCTTAGCCCCCCGTCGGTGTGTATAAGTCCTGAGCCATCAATGACGCTGGTGTGACCAATCTGTAAGGGTTTTTAGCTTCCCTTGCAAATGGCCGGGTAAGAGCTTCGTCTCTGGAATGACAAGATGGGTTTATACACACTTGGCATACTTCATACTCTATCAAACAATGACGGTGGCATGCATTATAAGCTGGAACACTTCGTCTTTCAACAAAACACGCGTAAACGAAGGGATAAAGTCTCGATTACCATCCCTTGGCATGATATTCCCATGGCCCAAAGTCGGTGGCGTATTTGGTCCATGAGCCAACATTTGGATGATCTATACCATTAGTCTGGCTGGAAACGTTCGATTCTTTATGATCACCAGGTTGTATTGGGGGTATTTTATGCTGCGAATCCTTTGATTCTGGGCGTTGGAAAGCCTTCATGTCATGGACGGTGCCTCGTCGTTTCAAGCAAGCGTTCATGGTCGGGTCATTTTGCTGACGCTCCCAGAGAAGGTTCCGGCGGTCCGAATTACTCAGCTCGGTAGCAAGCAATTTACGACGGATAGTGCGCGGGGAGTGCAAGCGTGAGGGTGATGGTGATCGTGATGGCTTCACAATGACGGGCTTCGATCGGGGCACGTTAGGGCCATCGATAGTCGAGATTCCTTGGTCATTTTCCAGAGGGAGAGTAGAGATGGACATATTCTTTGCTGATATTGGGCAAGATCCTTTTGGCACAGAACTAGAACGGAAGGCGTTCCCTTGCACTCTTTCTGGATTATTTATCATCATGGTGAGCATCGACTGCCGCGATACCAGATTCGGTAGGGAATCCACTCGTTGGAAAAAGCGCCTGTGTTCGTCATCACTGGATCTGTCGCTTTCAAAGTCCGAGTCCTCCCATTCGATATCATCGTCAGCCTCAGATGCACTCATTGAACCTTCGTTGTCGTTTTCAATGACGTCCTTGTCCCAGCTGCGTTGGTTCTTGGGATGTTGAACCGTGCGCAATGAGTCCTGATCACTGGAGCAGACCATCCTACTCATAACCCTGGCCTCGGGCCTTGCCAATCCAGTATCTGACGCATCATCCTGAGTAGATCGTGCAGTCATGCGTTCTATAAAAGAGCCTCCATCTTCTTCAAAGGATCCGCCCAACGTAAATACCCCCAACCTCTTCTTGGGCGGCGAGGATTTGGGTGGAGTAATTGCCTGTCTGAGAATAGGGCTAAATTGGGATCGGAAAGAAGACGAAACGTGCGATGGAGAGAATCCGCGAACGATGCTAGTCGACTTCCACAATTCAGATCTGCACGAATTGACATCGGAGGGCGAGACGCGGGTGTTGGACGGGGAAACCGACGCAGAGTAATTCTCCTTGCCTTCGGGTATGAAAGTCAACGGTGGCACATTAGCCTCGGGGAGTTGCTGGGTGGGTCTGGGGAATTTAGGGATCTCTCTAGCGACAGAAACAGAGTTAGACCTGAGAGTCTGGGAGCTATGCGGTAGAATCTCTTCAAACCACTCATGGCCTAACCGATCGCTTGGACAATTGATCATTATCATGTTCATTGCGAGGAGCCGGAGAGAATGCTTGGACAAACTGAAAAACAATAATCTTTTGATAAGACAGCCAGCCGCCAGGAGGATGAAGGCTTATGTGATGGGATGGTTTCGCTAACTGAACTTGTATGCTGGATCGAGTGGTAGGCAGGCAATGATCCAGGACAGGACATATATTTCCTAATAATATTGTAAGAGGGAAGGTTGGCGTGGCCGATTATAGTTAATAAACCTTAAGGCGTGGTAATCTTGATAGTGTCCTTACATCACTGTAGAATACTGTATCCTTTGGTCTAGAATCTTACCAAGAGAAGTCGATTCTGACTCAGGAATGGGTAGAGATCTGTTTCGGGTTAGGCTGGTTAATTAACTTTAATAGACATAATCAATATTTCTAGACTGTTTTGTGTGGTTGCGTATCTTGATTGATAAGAATGACGCGATAAGTCTGTGGGATTCCGTGCCCTACCATTGGCTAGATAACAGGATTCTAATATAAAGTTTGTAAATATTGGCCGGGGAAAAAATCCCGAGATTAGATAATGTAGTTGGAGGGGAGCTGATTAGATGAAACGACAGACAAAATCTCCCCCCATACTCTCTAATACTAACGTTAACTCTGTTGAATACCAGAAGGCCATGCCAACGCTAAGCCTAACTTGGCTATAACTACGCCGACGGACATCCGGGGCAGCTAGGCACCCTTCTGGGCACTAATACAATGCCCATAGCCTGTGTTCTAATGATTGCTACGTTGCACGAATACATGCGAGCTAGTGGAAGTTTCTACTAAACTATTAGCTGCGGTGTAACACGTTTGGAAAGCATGTTTACTGCCATGTTTTACTATGGCAGCCAGAATTCTGTTATTCTCGAGTCCTCCATGTATTTAAGATGGCATCTTCTGCCAGATATTCTTGTAGGATACAGGTCTCCGTCCTTGCAATACGACTCACAGATTATTCTTCTTATATTACAGTGCTACTGTTCCATAGTTCTTCTCAGAATTCTACAAACTCAAACGAAAATAGACATACAGGCAGAAGAGGTTTCAATTCATTTCTCGTAACAGGTGGTTGTTGCAGGCAAAGTGGACTATTTTCCTGAGTTGGTGTTTCTGCCCTGGATCACGATTCCAAATCTCGAACTCACAACGGCATGAGTAGAAAGAAAAATGAGAAATAGAAAACACATGGTGCATGGGAACAAATGTACAAGCCATCGGACAAATAATATACGGATACAGGAGCCTTGAGGTAAAATAAGAAACCCCATTTGGGAACCAAAAGGCATGATTAGACAAGATAAGAAAAAGAAAAAGGCATAAGAGGTAGGAAGGATCGGAAGTGCTGGCTAGATCAGAACAGTATGAAGGTCTCTCGATCCTCTGGGATGAGCTGCCACCCAGACTGAGCGCGAATTGGCTGAACTCGTTGAAGTCCGGGTCTAGTTTCTCGTGCGACACCATGACTTCATCGCGTTCCATGGTCGTGGCTACTGCCTCGGCAGTTTCAACGGCTGTTAGGGATAGAGGGGTATCGGGAGTTGGGCAGAAATCTGGGGTGGACTGTGTATCTGCTGAGAGAGTCTCAACTTTAGGTGAGTTGGTAATGAATGGGACCATCTGTGCCAGATGTGTCTTCTGGGTGGAGAGATGTAAATTGGGGTAGGTGCTGTTAGGTTGGGAAGATTCGCGGTAGTGGTCATGACTGTATCCACTGCTTGATCGGGAGATATAGTCAGCCAGTGCAGGTGGCACGATGTGCTGGAAAAGCAACTCTGGAGCGGAAGAGAAACAATGTCTGAACTGCCGCATCTGGATGCTCGTGGCCGTCCCCACTGGCATTTGCGCCTGTTGCATCATTTGATGCTGCCACATAACTACAGCTTGGTTGTCAGTGAAGGCCTGGTTGGAGGTCGAATTTTGCTGTTGCAAACGTGTCCATACGGGGGGTATATGCTGCGTATTCCAGGCTGGTATGGGTGTTTGGGTGACGTAGGCGGGAACCTGTATCGGTGAGATAGCAGTGGTGGCAGCTGCACCTATATGGGGATAGGAAGAAGCATCAGTGCCACCCATACAGGTCAGGTAGGAGGACTGCGTACTCGAGTCGAAAGTGGTCGAGGATGATACAGTAGAACGTAGCTCTCAGTGGCAGCAGCTGTAGCAGTTATAGAGCTAGTTGAAGAGCCCCATTCCATGCCGTGAGGAAACGGAGGCTGCAGGTTGGATAGGTCCAGGTTCATCTTGCGGGAAGAGCCGCCATTGATAGATGTGTGAGAAGTCATCTTCGCGCGTCGACTAGCGATGGAAGAAGAAGAAGCAGAGCCAGTGCTCTTGGTGCGGGCGGCGAAGGCAGCCAATAGATGTCGGTGGAATAGCTCTTCAGTCTGCGTGTTCTGTGCTCGTAGCTCAATTTCTTCATACATGGCTTCGTTTTTACAATCTTCTTGGTAATGTGGAAAGCCTTGCCGGTGCGCTTTCTATGCAGCGTGGAAGTCCGATTGGCGGATTCCAGCCGCGCATCCAAGCTACGGTCTTTTCGTCGCGAAGCAGCACTGAAGGCCCTGGAAGAAACGGCTTAGTTATGGACTATACTATTCTATCTTTGATAATTTGTTTTTCCAACACACACACACAGAGCCAGCAGCAATGTAGTTACCTCTCCTGGTTCTCCTCCCGAGACCGGGGGATAGGAGAGATGTCCTGATCTAAATCTGGCGAGACCATCTCAGATAGATAGAAATAAGTTGAAAGTAGATTAAAATTCAAGTCCAGGTAGAATGAGCCCTATAGATACAATATATGACTAGAGGGAGGCTTAGATGAAGTTGACAAGGAGCAACATTAAATCGTTTTAGCACAGCCTGATTTGATTTTATGTGAGAGGGGGCTGCTGTCACGCTCTGGAGGGCACCCTTGAAGCTTGGAGGGCAGAGCCATGGATGCTGAGGCGATCGCAGTTGGGAAACCGAGAAAAAGTCTCGTTCGGGGATGAACCACGGGTCTGCCAAACAAAATGTGCGGCGAGTCCATTTCGATAGCACCAAGGGCGCAGATACGAAAAGATTCGCGTCCCTGGGCCGGACTACTATTCGTGCTTTTCGACTACTCGAAATTGTTACGTGGTGTTGTTACCCAAGCATTTGGCCATGAGTGGCCATGAGTGGCCATGAGCGCCCGTAGGTGTTCAAATCTACACTGCAAGTGTGAGGGCTGGCCTAGACTGGCGCTGCAGTTGTGGAGCACAGTTGCTTTTCTCCGATATGCCTCAGCACTACTTTGGAAGCTTTCTAACACGGTCTTTTTACGTCAGGTCATTGACTCATGGTTACGATCGATGCGAGTAGTTTTGGTTTTTCTTGAGTTACACACATACCTGAGATTCTTAGCAGATTTTTTCTTCCCTGTTCGAGGGGCGTTTCAGCAACGGCAATTTGTTCGTCCAATGTCGATCAGCCAGTAAGGATACGGGGGAAGATTGCCCCCCAAAAATGGGCTCACATCGGGGAGGGTTTCACTATTGGTCTATACAGTCTACCGTGCAAAATCGGGAATCATCCGCTGTGCGGAAATCCGACACTGAGAGATACCACGAGCGCTCTTTCGGGACAGGATTATTCAGCATGTATGTGATCCACCGCCTTTCTAAGGGGTCACCACAGGGGACTCGATCTTAGTTCTGTAACCAGACATCACTAAACCATCCTCTCTATTGGACATGCCTAGTACTAGCATGTACGGGTTCCCAAATAACTGACATAGTGTTTTTGTATATAGCACGAACGTAAGTGTTCGTATGGGCTATACAACTAGCCTTCGCGAACTTGCAGGATCGTCAACTCGAAGGATCGCTCAACTCGGTCCAGTACCTAGATAGAACAACTCTCCCGCAATTGGATCATACAGTAATAGTTCATACGCGTTCGCCCCAGTCCGATAGTTATGAGCCCGGTATCCTCGCGTGGATTCGAATATTTAGAATAACATCCATCCACATATTTCCCCGACAGATTCGGATACTTTGGTTGAGCGAACGAGTCAGGTTACCCCTGAATCGCGAAGCGACATGATTGTTGCGAACTAAAACGCCGACCACCGATATTCTGATCGAACCAAGTAAGCCAATCGCGATGACTTGCTTAGACCGAGAGGAGTTCATGATGATCCCGACCGATCAGAAGCTTCGATCGGAAGCACATTGGAGACTGGATAGGGCACGTTAGGTCAGCAGCAAGTTCGGAAGGAGTATGGACTATATCGATCCTGATGGAGAAATCCGGAAAATCCCACCGTTAGTGATGCATCCCAAGCTAACAACGTAGGCGGAATAAATTGCACCAATAAGCACATGGCTCTGGGAAATCGGACCATAATGACCAACAGCCTGAGATCAATCTTTCTAACTACCGCAAATATTTCTGACTAGCGCAAACTACATACGGTGTCTTAATATTCAGCCATATTCTAGAAAAATGAGGGCGTGGCTGGCCGAGCCACTACCACATCCGTAGCCTTATCCTCATGATGCTCCGCTTCGCAAAGTGCCTTTTGGCTCATGGTGCTTAATCGATTTAGATATAATATAGGAAAAAAAGTAACAGTATTGAGAGATAGAGAGAAAATAAAGGTGGAAATGGTCTTTCCCATCTAAAGTACCTCTTTTGCAAGGAACGTCTATAAGGGCCCTGTCGTGGAGATTGATTTAGATGGCTTAATCCGTGGAGAGATCCAATGTTCTGTTAGTATGCCAAATTAGCGTATTCAGATTATATCTGGAGTTTTCTCCAAGATGATGCTTAACGGAATAATTGAGGTATAAGATCAGGTAAGAGCCCTTTTTCACGCCACGAAAAGGGTTATACTCGTCTTGGATATGTAAACACGATGACATGAATATAGAATACAGTAAATAGTACTGGTAATATTTGCTTCAATACAAGATTAGCACCTTCTTTTGATCCTGACAAGCCGACCATAATAAGAAAATGCAGCATTGTTATAAAATGAACACCAGTCTCTGTAACTCCATAGATTCTGCATCTAGAACAAGCAGAGAATGTCGTAATCTTACTAGCAAATTCTATAGGTTCAAGGAGCAGAGGTTTTTCTGGATGATCATATCTTGTACGGAATCCATCGTCGCTTTCAGTAAGGTGGAGTCGGTAGCATTGGTGTAGTGTACGTAGATTTCACGGTCACGTGTCCGGTTGATGCCATGAAAGCGGTTGGTGAAGTACCCTGCTGCAGCACCAAAGTCTATGTTGGAACCAGTGAAATCTGGAAAGTATTGAGAGAGAGGTGAAACAACAAGCTTTTCCTTGAATAGATCAATCTTGTTCAAGAAGAGGATGATAGGCTTCCGTTTGAACCATTTCCCGTTGGCCAACGGGTCGAAGAGCATCATCGCCTCGTGCATTTGGTTCTGGGATAAAATTTTTGGAGTTAGAGATTTTGATCGGACAGTAAAATGATGAAAGAACATACAGCGTTCTGGTCTTCCACTAAGCTTTGGTCGTAGCCGGATAGCGCAACCACGAAAATAAGGCACCCGACATCCTCGAAGCAATGGATCCACTTCCTCCGCTCTGACCGTTGTCCGCCCACATCAATCATTCGCCAATTAATACATCCTAGCCCAAAAAAGGATTCACTGATTCCTGTTGTTCTCAGCCGTGCTTGTAGCATGTCCTGGTTGTCGGGAAGCCACCCGGGAGCGGAGATCCGATCAATGGAATTATAGAAACTGATCAAATCTATCAGCATCGTCAACAATTTGATTGATTCAACCAACTTACTAAAGTAGGTTATCGTGGAGAGCATGACGGCGGCTTCGTGCAATGGCTTTCTGAACACCTGGATCTTTCCACAGATCCTTCATGGCATTGCAAACATCCAAAAACGGTCGATCGATGTTCATGTCTGGTTGTATTTTGTCGATGAAATTGGCCGATGACTGAAAAAGTCCATAAATCAGATAATACAAAAAAGAAGGGAAGCCGCCACCCTAGCGGGAAGGGGAGCTAGGGGTATCAAAATCACCTTGGCTCTCTCGATCTCGAAATCTATATTCTCCGCACTCATGATACCCAGCACTATCTTGAAGGCAATGACAATGCTAGAATAAATCACGACTCGTGTCTGGCAGCGTTCATCTTCGGAGAATCCACCTGAGTAGAGAATGCGCATTTGCTTGATAATTGTCGACTTCCCTGACTCACCAGCACCTAAATCTCGACTTAGAATTGCCACATTTGAAAGAATATCGACTATATACACACCAAGCAAGAGAATCTTGGTGGTCCTGGCCATGCTTTTCTTTTCTGATTTTAGGAATTTGTCAATTTTAGCGCTGTGCTGAACTGCTTCTTCATTGTCTGTGTCCACCGTGGGACTCAGGCTCATACACCCGATGATTCCGTGTTTGAAGTACTCCATCGGATATCTAGAGACTAAGTAGTCAGTTTAATTCGATTCCTGACCGACGGTCCCAAAACTTGGCATTGGCAGAAAGACCGCTACTTCGGATGATGAATCGGACATTTACAAGACTATACCAAGGGACCGACCATTGACCTTGTGAAACTGGAGATGATGTACTTACACACGCTTGATCCCCTTAGTACGTGGGCCGTCTTGGTCCGTTGAGGATTGTATTTCAGAAACTGTTGTTTCTGGTGTTCTTAATGAAGCACCCGAATGTCAGGCTATATTTTTGTAATACAGCTAAACAAAACTCGAACTCGGACATAAGGCCATGAAAGAATGTTTGTCTGTATCAGAATATCAGAGAACCAGAAAAAGAGAGCGAGACAGAGTTGCAATAGGATCATATAGGATCGACGTGAAAATTATGAGGGTCCACATAAAGATCTCGGGTTAATCCTCAAAAAAGTAACTCCGCCGGGCCGGATCTACGTGATTATTGGGGACGGGTACTGTATAGCACTCACTGCCAATCAAGTTTTCTCCCGTCCCGGCGGGTAGCAGGTCCGGGCAAAGAAGTAAGTTAGTGGCAAAACTCGATAAGCAAATCTGGCGAATGAATTATTGACAGGATGCATAGGCAAAGCTTAGCTTTTCTCAAGATCCAGACCGGTGTCGTTCTCCTTCGGATGGGTCTCGCAGACTATAGCATGATTATAGAACAGGGTTTTAAGTAATATTCAGATTATCTCGTACTAATTACGTCTTCGTGATAATTGACTCAGTAATCATGTGTAATAGACACTGACGAGTCTTCTGTAGTTGTATTTGAACGGCAGATCCCAATACTTTAGAATGTTGCGATGATGTTGGGATCCATCGGTCTGCGAAGGCTGCCTGGTTAAAAGGGGCACGTTCGGCAAACCTATCTTCGGTCCTTACCGAGAACACCTCTGTTCCACTATTGATTCCACGGGAGTGTCCCTGATGGCGTAAATTAGCTCAAACTGGCCAGTCGTGCACTTAACTAGTCCACTTTATTAATAGTCAAATGTTTATCATTATCTCCACCAATAATCATGTAGTCTTTCGCGCTCTGTCTTACTATCGGTCAGAGTCAGGGGCCACTGTATACTGAAAGGGATCAACCTTTTTATTACTTATTTAGAAGCACGGTTGATCTTGCAGTGGCCGAGATCATCAGAAGGGAAAGGCGACTATCATTCCCGCCTTTCTGAAAAGCCAATCACTATAGATACCCCGGCCCACGCCTCTCATCTTGTCTATTTAAATAATGCCGGGAGACTGGTTAGAGTTTGGATTGCCCGCGTCGGTTGCGTATTCACTTCCCGTGACCCTTCAATAAACGCAATAATGTGACAATATGACGCTATATTAAAATACCGCAACCAATTCTTACAGGGCCCCAACAATTATCGGATTTCACACTATTTTGATAAAATTAGCAATGTCACTCAAAGCGCCATTGGCAGCATGTGGACTAGAAAATGACATAATTTATTTGAGACAATCCCTTTCGGGGGCCAATCAGCTTGCTGAATCCTGATAGTCCATCAACTGATTCATTGAACCAAGCGTGGCAAGGGATCTTACCCGCGCAAAAGCTGGGCTGGGTTTCCCCGGAACCCCCATGAAATTGGATCACTCCAGTCTGCACAGGCACTTTGGTGGTTTGTCCACTAACCTGGGGTAGGCCTAACGGCAGTTATCGTATATTGCCGGTATTCCCCTGCTCAGCTGCAGTACGCACTTGCTGTGACTCTTCGGGCAAAGGGGGTTTATCGGTTTAATTAATTGATCTTTAACCTTTTCGAACTTTCTTCTTGAATTTTCGACTATCTTGAAGCTATTCTTTTGCAGTGGCGTTTCAAGAGTATTTGCACCCTACTACATCCTACTTCCTGCTACTACGCGTTCTTGCGCAACTAGACACACTTAAATTAGGCTAGTTATAACACGCATTCTCTTTACGTTGTCGACTATGAACATACACAATGCCTAGAGATCGCCGAGGGCAGAGCTTGATTTCGAGACTCGTTCTCGCATATGTAAGCTCAAATGTACCTGCAAATGGGGTGCTAAAAAGATCCAAAAAACTGTTTCCCAGATATACCGCTCACTATGATCAACTATAGTCAGAAACATTTATGCATTCATGGGCCGATGATGGACAAATGCGGGCCGCCCACGAGCTTTCCGAGTGGTCCATGGACTGGCTCTGCCGAAGTCAACTTTCAACAGTTCCCCAAGACTTTAGACCGTTGACCTTTAATACTGAGATAGGATTACGTGTTTGTTGCAGATCTTCATTTTATGTTTTATCAGACAAATTGATACATCACCGCTCAGAAATAAGACAACCATTATGTGCGCGTTCTATGAATGGGATCTTCAGTATGCCCGGAACTCATGAGAATTGTTGCAATATAAGGCTGGCGCAGATCAGGAACTAGGCCGCATCATCGGAATTAATTCCCAAAACATCTATACGAAGCATCAAGTTGATTTTCAAACATTTCAATCAACTTGGTCCTCTTCTTGCATATATAGCCTCATGTATTTCCTCTGAGATAAGAACAATCAAGCCTCCCTTGAATTACAACAATAATGTAAGGAGTCGAGGCATGTTTACCGCTTACATATCTGCAAATCTTTGCAAATGCCGGGCCCGAGGTGTGCCCACTGTTTCTTGAAACTAGCGACACGTGGAACTTTCACAATATTAGATGAAGATAGCGAACTACTTCCTGATTGATCAACGAGATAGGTCAAAGCGGAAACGGTTAGAGATCAGCTGGGATGATTGATACGAGCGTACCAATTCAAAGCCCCACAGCTCGCGTAATAGGCTGCCGTAAACCTTAAAAGTTAAGCTCCAGCTGCTTACGCCAACTCATTAGGATTAGTTAGTTATGTGTAATCTACTCCGTACCAGGCGTTCCTTTCAATATCCAGGTGAAAGACCCGACAGATTGGTTCCTAATCAGATTCCGCCTCCGCCGATGTCATATTTCTTTGGCTCCTATACTTCGCGCACTTCTAATTACCGATGCTTCTTCCCAACTTCTCGCCCTTCATTTCTTCTGAAAACAACAGTCTGGTAGCACATCACCCCCACCATTCATAAAGCAGAATCCTTTGTTTATATCCATGCCTCCAGGTAAAGGAGGAGTATTCGAATGTTCGTGGGAGCATTGCGGCAAAGTATACTGTTTTCCTTGGCGTCTACGTTCGAGCAATTTTGATTTATTCTTGTCTAATAGTGTTATTAGTCCTTCAGTCGGAAATCAGATCTTTCTCGACATTATCGAATACATACCAAAGAGCGACCCTACCATTGTACTGTCAGAGGCTGCAAAAGAACTTTCATTCAACGCAGTGCTTTGAAAGTTCATTCACGGATTCACACCGGCGAAAAGCCACACGTCTGTTATCAAGAGGGATGCCAGAAAGCCTTTGCGGATGTGAGCCGTTTAGCTCAACCTGCAACTAGAAATTGATCGCTGATCAGTATACAACAGTCTTCTAGTCTGTCTCGTCATCGGAAGACCCACGCTAGTAACAGGTCATATATATGTCAGCAGCAGAATTGCATGCGAAGGTAACTTATCTGGTTAATTATATGTAACATCACAGTCTAGGATCAAAGATGAACTAGATTTCGTCGTAAAGACACGCTCAACAGACATTGGCTTCGTTTTCACAAATCTCTGCTTTCGGCGCAGCCATCTTTGTCAGACGAAGACTTGGGTTGGCCTAACCAGAATCAAATCCCTTTGACCATCATGAGCATGGATGCGTGCCAGAACATTCTACACCCGTGGCCATCCGATCTGCAGCCTTCAATGCCACACCGTCACAGATGTTATTCGCAGAAAGACACGGCGGTATTCTCGACGCCAGGTTATCAGTGTCAACCGCCAATTCAGATTCAAAATGTTCTACCAGCACTGCCAATGAATGTTGTATATGCACCCGATCAGTACGGGCAACAGTATTTAGATCTCTGGCGCATGGAACGGTACATGCACCCTCAACCTCCTATGGCGCCAAGTCTGTTTTACCTGCCAGTTTGGTGTAGCGCAGAGTCATCACTCGAGCACCCGGAACACAGTGGCTCCCTCGAATAGACATGATGACTATATTAGACCTGTTACGCTTAATTGAGGGATAATTATTGCAGCTTGGCTCGTTTGGTCTCGTTTGAAATATTTAGCTATTATTGTATTTCCGATATTTTTGTTTCTCAAGGGACTTTTTTGAATCGCCTGCTATACCAAGCACCTTGGGATCTTTTTCAACACTCAGTACTATCTGGCCGCATTCCTCGCGAATTTTTACTTGGATATTAACAGCCATCTGGCCAATAAAATCCACAGGTCCATATGCCCGCCCGAGGAACATTCTCATGTCAATATCTTTAAGGATTACCTCAGGCTAAGGGTTTGATTCGCTCATTCAAGCTATGGATTGCCTTGAAAAGCCTCATGATACAAAATCAAGGCTTCACAAGGCAATAATTCTCCCACTTGCTGCTATATGGCATTAAACTGATCCCGCAGGTACTGCATATGACCATTATAGCTCATTGAAGCCATCAAAGACGAACGGGATTATTTATAAATTAGTTTCAAGCTGACAACAAATGCCGATCTAACTGTTTTCCTAATATACAAGGCAAACAAGGCCTCGGTTATCTTCCCAACCCGCCCAGAGTAAGCTGTGGGTGAGCCTCTTATCGGAACGAATATCAAGCACAATCGGTCGTTACCTACGACCACTATGGAGAGAACAATTACAAGTCGAGCCCAAATATATTTGGTTTCAAACCAGAGTATCAACCCTCGGCAAATGCAATGTGTCGACATTGAGCAGGCTCACAGTTTCCATGCTAGCGAGGCTTTTAGAACCACCACAAAGCGGCAAGACATCGCTGCCATGGTCATTCGTACGAATGAACCCTCACACCCCTTCGTTTCGACTGTTAATAGCAGATTGCCATCGCTGACTGAAATCATATCCCAAAAACTGCGTTTTATGTCGACTGCAGGTGAATGGACTCCTCAAGGTAACTTTCCCCGAAGGCTACCTTTTGATTGTGGCGCTGCCTTGTCGGCCTGGCCACCTTTAATGCCTCCGGCGAGCAGATTGGAGCGGCAACCGTATCCTGTGAGTCAAAACCTTTCTCCAAGTAACTCGGGAATCGGAAATGGGCTAAACAACACAATATCCCCAGCTTTCAAGGGCCTCATACCCCTGTGATCCTCTCTGGTTGACGTGATGCTATCACTGCGTCAAATGAGGCTATGCGATCGAAGTACGCCGTGACTTTGGAGATTTTCCTTTTGCGGAAACAGACTTATGCAAGTCGGCTCCCCACGCTAGAATAGATGTACCATGTGCTTAACCCTCAGAAGAAGCCTCGGTCAGGATGCTGTCAATTCAGCCTTGAAGGTGATCTGGGTACCCCCCCCCCCCCCCCCCCACTGCGTATTTGGTTCTTAAAAAGAAGGGGCTAACACGGCGAGAGCAAGTCAGAGGAGGGAGTCAAAAACTAGTCCGGATGCAACATTGCATGATCAGCCCAAATTTTTCCGCTGAACCGAGTATGAGTGACAAGGCCTCTTCGTGACTTAACAGCCGTGCTGACAAGCAGCCAAGGTTGCGCGGGGACAACTTACCCCGACCAAAAACCCTCGATATCTGAAGTCGGCCTTCAGGAATGCGATACTTCGTCTAATCGTCGCAATGCACGGGCTTTTCATGTGCACAACCGCCAATGATTTGGTATCAAATCACTATTCCAGAAACCGACCTCGCCCATATTTGATTCATTTTCCAAGCGCCCTCGAGCCGGGGAGGGGGTCCCCCAGAGACCCCTTTATGGGAGTTGGCGAGGCAATTTCCAATTGCCGGGCGTCCCCCCATAAGCTACGGGCAAGAATCGCTCATCAGCGTGGTCCTCTACCACTTCCTTATACCCTAATCTGCAAGGGTAACCGCCACCCAAGCAATACAATGGGTAAAATGCACCCGCATAGGTGCTTCAGTGTCAGATTTGCAGCCAAGTCGGAATCATGCATTCACGGATGGTTCATAGAGACGACTACCCTTTTCCCTGAGCCATAAAGCTAAGTCCACCTAGAATTTCCGCATCGGGTGCCCAAGCTCTCAAAAAGTAAAAGTTTGCTTTGGAGTCAGGAGTTGAATTTTCTCCCGTACCTGGTGGAAGTTCTTGAGTATCAATGCTCATATCCCAGGGGTGATGCTACATGAACAGCAATGCGTCAATAAACAAGGGACTAACTATCCTTCCTCGATAACCCGCTCGCACACTAGCTGGATTAAAGGCAGCGCCCAGTCATCCCAAGGATTTCACATCGTGCCAAGAGTTGAGAGCGGAGACTTCGCAAGCTTCCCCATAATTGAGTACAGGAGAGCCAGAGTCTCCTGAGCGCAGAGACCGGCTCCAAAATTGAGTTTGAAGCTCTGAGAACTTGGGGTTCAATGCTGCAATCTTTGCGGCAAGTTTGAATATACTGAATTGCATGGGTCAGATCGAAAGATTGGGCGTCGCTATAGAGTATCGCAAAGCTAAGACCGCTGAAATTGGATTTCATTTCGGGTCTGTTGATGGATCACGCCTGTGGATGAAGACCAGCCATCTTACTGTCTGACTGCCGACAGGCCGTCGACAGGTGTTGCGCGCAAGAGCATGGGAGAGTGGTACAAGACCACAGTGGCGGGAGAGTCTTGCCCGTCGCCTATGGGGGGCACCCCCGGCAATTGGACATTGCCTCGCCGACCCCCGTAAAGGAGGTCTCTGGGGGACCCCGCCCCCGGCTCGAGGGCGCCCAAGAAATGAACTAAAAAATTCGCATTGAGTGTAGACATCATCGTAATAAGGATGGGTCTTTCTGATAGAATCGAGCAACTTATCCCTCCCCCAACTCAAACCGTTGTCATCCTGCACGGATGCGCAAGAAAATTCCCGAAGGGATTACGACAGACCGTGTCAAACATTATTGACAAATCACCGATCAATAAACATGTGCTTGGGACCTCTTAATTATCTTTTGAGACGACACTGGTTATTTCAGGATTTGGGGCAGCACGGGAGGAGCCAGAGGGAATTTCTGGCTTAATACTGCTTGCTGTAACTGACACTTAGTGCAAAGTTTTACCTATGGGCTCTAAGAAGACACAGTACTGGATATATTATGACATGTATAGTAGATCAGCGATAGTTGCCCTTCCGGGTTAGGCGCCAGGCGCTAATAAATTTTGTGTATGTGTGTACAATTTTAAGTTCCGAAACTGTTGTTGCTGCTGCTAAATTTTGTGACTCACACAGTAAACTCACAAATGCCACCATAATGTTGGCAAAATGTAGCAATATATTCTGAGAGCCACAACATTGCAGCAGACAATCATTTCTACGAAGGGAAGTGATACAGTAAGCTCCATCTATTCATGGGAGATCAAAGATTCTATAACATCAGGCCATTCACCTCAACGTCTTACGTCTTATGTCTCTTGCTAAATGAAAACTCAAATTTGCCTCGCAACCACGATTCAAAGACGTCAGGAATTCCGTGACGACGGCTGTTGCTGCAATGAGCCCAGCAATTTAAGAAGAGTGCTTCGCAGCCTAGGACCTGCGTCACTAAAGATCCTTCGGCGCTGCCGAGAATAAGTGACCCCGCAGGATGAGCTCTGCGTCATCAAGTGTGCTCCGCAGGGGGGCGCTGCGTTAACAATTGAACCCCGCAGGAAGAATGCTGCGTGAACAAGTGTTCCCTCACAGCCAATGAGCCCTGTGTTGTATAAATGTGCTCGGTCTGCCAAGGCCTGTGTGGCCACCAGCGTCTTGTCACGATCCTCTAGCAATGTGCAAGCACCTCTTCGTGGTGCTAGAGACCAGTATTCGCCTGCTTAACCGAGCAGTCGAGGAAGCCAAGCCTTGCACAACTCCTTCCACGAACATACATTCAATTCAGATAGGCAAACGATACCAATGCAGATGTTAATTTTTTTTTTCTTTTTTTTCTTTTCTTTCTTTTCTTTCTTTTCTTTCTTTTCTTTCTTTTCTTTTCGTAGAAAATTAAGTTCATATACAGTGCAGAGAAGCGTTTACTGCCTTCAAATATGCACGGCAATGTTCATTCATTAATCCTAGGATTGTGTAGAAGAATCCGCGATGAATCGCGACGAGCCGCGGCGAGGACTGTCATGATGAGATCAACGCCGGGGAAGTAGTGTATCGTTTGCTATGCTAATGTGCTGAGGCGGATGTTGACGAGCGTTGATGAGTGTTGATGAGTGTTGATGAGTGTTGATGAGTGTTGATGAGTGTTGATGAGTGTTGATGAGTGTTGATGAGTGTTGATGAGTGTTGAGTGTTGATGAGTGTTGATGAGTGTTGATGAGTGTTGATGAGTGTTGATGAGTGTTGATGAGTGTTGATGAGTGTTGATGAGTGTTGATGAGTGTTGATGAGTGTTGATGAGTGTTGATGAGTGTTGATGAGTGTTGGTGTGGGTGGGTCGCATGTTAAGATTCCGCACGACACGATGTTCCCCACCCGGGGCTCTTTTAAGGCTTTTACTTCCCAGAAACCCCCTTGCATCACAAAATTATCATTTCAGTGAATCATTTCCTTGCGATTTCAGTTTCTTAGCATGGCGAGCCCCAAAATCTCTGCGAGACGACGTGGCCAAGCTTCTTGTCAGGCGAGGCCCAACGTCAAGCCTTGTCCTGAAAAATCGGATGGCCCTGCACGATTGACAGTCTTAAGTCCCACAAGTAAAGAATTGGTCTGCTTCTCTTCTCCCATCGTATCTGTTCTCTCTCGGCTGTATATCGCCTTTTTGATCTCCTTTTAAATTGCAGTCGCGCGTTCTTCCTGTCATTTTATCTCTTCTCAGATTTGGCGTTCGTACACTGACAGTAACAAATTCCAGGAGCACGGGACGACAAAAGGAATTCGCAGAAATGACCGAAAAGCAACATACAGAAAGTGCCTAGCGGTCGTCAGACAAATTGAAGAGGAATTTCCAATCCTGCCACCCTTGGGAGCTTCTTCTTCTCGAACAAGGGGGAATGGTACTCATTCTAGGCCTACGGGCGATCATGCTCTACGTCATCCTTTGGAAAATCCCAGAGCAAAATCCCCGAGATAGGAGATTTTGTCGACTACAAACGTGCAGTGGTTCAAACCCATGGTTTCGGTCTCGGGCAAGTTGAGGATGACGCCGGCGTAGTTCGAGTGCCGTATTGCCAATCCTTGTACCGTGATAGTTTGCTGTTCAGTAGGATCCCCTCGTCATAACGAAATGCGGCATCTGCCATTGAGGCGTAAAGTAGAGAGAGATGTGGGTTTGATGTGAGTGTTATGGCGAGATACGTATATTCGACAGGACCGCAAATTCCGCGAGTACGAATCCCCCAAAAGTCACGCATTTGTGTTCGTGTCCGACCCCTACAAATCTGTGTCTGACCAAGTCTATGACGCAGTGCCGGTGCGCCTTTTTTTTTCATTTGAATGATTGGCTATAGGAACGGCCTGATCATTATGATGAAGTACTTATAAAATGTTTTCAGGCTGAGTGCTTTATACGTCGACCCAAACTATCAGTGAGGTAATTAGTTCCCGCGCTATACACCAGGGGCAACCTGATTTGGTTTGGTGGATAAGCAGTGGTCCCCTCGTCCGCGCCCACATTCGCAGTGTCGCACTAAGTGCGCACCGCGACCATGAAACCTTCCGTCGGCAGAAACTTTAGGATTTTCCCACGCCGAACCTACTTGGCTTCCCAATCCTCGATCGAGAAATTTTCTCTTCCCTGCAAACACCCTTGAGGACACCTACACGAATGGCTGCACAGAGAGCGGCTTGGCTTGATGATACGCGAAAGCGAACACGAGAACTCGGATCTTCTCTATAAGCGATCTTATTCGCAACTTGCCACCGTCCATACCAAGTTGGGGTCCCTGGAAGAATGTCAGCCCCACCACCCAGCTGCTTTCTCTGTCCGATAAGTTCATTGGATCACTCAGCTCCCGCGCCGTTAACCTAGTTCGTAAGCATACTTGGCTTGATAGCATTTGATTTGGTTTGCCTGGACCCAGCGCAGATCATATCATTCCTTTATGATCGACCAAATTTGGAGTTCAGGCCAATCGTGTGGCTTGGCTAATTAGAAACGAAGACAACAGAAGAGGCGGAAGGGTCTCGGCTGGCTTTCGGCTGAAGGGATTGGATGCGGACTATAGATTCTAGACCGCGAGATTTACGGACTGGTTGCGATATTTCAATCGTAGGATATAAATATAAGATCCTATCAGCACCAAATTTACCCGCTCTAACTTGACTTTGTGATTATTTTCATAGCAAAATGAGCAAGACGGCGTCCATCAGTATCAAGGACATCAATCTCATCCCTATTGGATCATCCCATCCTACCATGTTCGTCTACGGCCTCAAGAAACGCCTGAAAGCGCTTAAAAAAATATGGGGACCCCTCATGCCGGCCAAAGAGCACTTGGACGATGAGTACAACTTTCCTCCAGGCAGGTATGCCGGCCAGAATGACGACAACTTAACTCAGCCATGGTGAGTGTTCATAGGTTTGAATGGCACTAGAGCTTTCGTCTAACAGCATTTCCAGAATCTGCAGCAGTTAAAACCTTCAAGGCGACATTGGAGTGGTTATAGCCCTTGGCAACTGCCCAACGTCAAAGCTAAGATTTCAGAAGGATGTAATATTGTTGAATAATAGATAAGGTCTTTAAATTACCGGCGATCACTGTTGTTGCACACTGCCCTAATAGATACCTAAATATCACATGGTCTACAAATTATTACGAACATCCCTTGATGACATGACTTTGCATATTTGAAACTCTCAGGGGTAGATTACCAGTAGAGCCTGTTTTGGCCAAATTCACAGGCGAGGGGCTTGCTAAAAAGCAAGCCCCCGGATTTAAAAATGCATTCAGAACAGACAGGAGACAGCCTTGAAACAGACAGGAGACAGCCTTGAAGAAGGCAGCTGCTTACAAGACCTTACCGATTCGCTCATCATCGACAAAAACGTCTTTGCCTGATTCCTCTGCATTGGTATCGAATAAGGGTACTATTGCTGGGATTGTTTTCCCCTTTCCGCACATTTGACTAACTGTAACGTATCTCATTGAGAATACTGATGATTTAATTACTTAATTCATGTAGTTGCTTCCGCCATGAATGTGGCTAGTGATTTTATTATATACCTTTATGCGAATCATATGGGGTTGGTTGTTTTGTAGCGATGCGCTGCTTTTGTGCTGCTGGATCTCGGAATAAAAGTAAGCTATGCAAAAGTTGATCTGAAGCATACATCCTATTTGGGATCGATTCAGCCAAGGCAGAGTGGCGGATCATCGGATTATCGGTGATGGTGATCTACGTTGGCTATGTGGACTATTAATATTACCAAAATGGACCGGGGCAGGACGGGAATGGCAGATGGGGGTTTCCCGGGGCAACAAGCCGGCACTGGATTCTCGGCAATCTGCCGTACGCGTCCTCTCCACATGGTCGCTAAACCCAAATCAGGTTGATCTGCAGGGACTATAGACTCCCAAGATGGACAGAAAGACGAAAACAATTGGATTCTCTGTTTCTGGATTCGGTTCCATGGAAATACTCTTGAGGTTCCACTCGAAATGCTCCATTTCTCCATATGGATTATTTGGTCACATCGATCCGCTGCAACTCAATTTCGTCCTTCCCCCCCTTTTCCCCTTTTATACCGACAAAATAATCTTCTGCGGGTTCTGAATAGTCTCCACGTTTTGTTCTGCTATATAAATATAATTTCGTGTCTGGGTGCTTCATCCATGATAGTGGCACAAACAAGAGTTTCAAAGTCACGACTACAAGCGTCCAGATTGACTGGCCCACGCTCCAAGAAGGGGAGAGAATTTCGACGGTCGTGATCTCGCCCACTGAAAGGTACGTACACATAACTTATCTGAATATGATTGTTTCAGTCCTGAAAGCCTTGGCTTACTCGCCTCTCCATCGTTTAAGCTTTAAGTTGACAATTTGATTCCAGATATTCAATGGTACTTGAACCACGGCATTATGGGGTGTTTGAGCTTGAAACCCGCGCCGGACTCAGCAAATGATGAAGCACTGCAGCGCAATGCTACAATCGAGAACCTCCTAAAATCCGACAAGAAAAACATGGCCAGGACTATGAAGCTCTTGTTGCTTGGTGTGTATAGACGATAGTATTCCGCAGGACCACTAATTCGGATTTTAGGTGCCGGTGAGTCAGGAAAGTTGACAATCATCAAGCAAATGCGCATTATCTACTCAGATGGGTTTTCCGAGGATGAACGCCGCCAGACACGAGCAGTAGTTTATTCTAGCATCATCGTCGCATTCAAAGTATTGTTGGATATCATGAGTGTAAAGAATATCGATTTCGAGACTACGAGGGCCAGAGTAATTTCATACCCCTAGGGCCCTAGCTGCGTTCACCCTCTTTTCTCCTTTACTTTCATCTGATTCAAGGGTCATTTCAGTTATCGGGCAGCTTCATCGATAAAACAGAGCCCGGTGTGGACTCCGGTGGACCGTCCTTGGATACAGCGGTTTGTGACGCATTGAGAGATATGCGTGAGGACTCAGGGGTTCGGGAAGCCATCGAACAGAGTCACGGTCTCGCTTTACACGATAACCTGCTTTAGTGAGTTGGCTGAGTTAGTCCAATTATTTACGACGCTGATTGATGTGATCAGTTTTTATAATTCCTTTGATCGCATCCCCACTCCCGGGTGGCTCCCCGACAATCAGGACACGCTGCAAGCACGGCTCAGAACAACAGGAATCACCGAATCCTACTTCGAATTAGGCCATATGAATTGGCGGATGAAAGACGTGGGCGGACAACGATCAGAGCGAAAGAAGTGGATCCATTGCTTCGAGGATGTTGGGTGTCTTATTTTCGTGGTTGCTCTATCCGGCTACGACCAGTGCCTGGTTGAAGACCAGAATGCTGTAGGTGTATTTTTTGACTCTACTATCCGATCGAAGCCCCTAATGCAAAATTACTCTTCCAGAACCAAATGCACGAGGCGATGATGCTCTTCGACTCGTTGGCCAACAGCAAATGGTTCAAACGCAAACCCATAATTCTGTTCTTGAACAAGATTGATATATTCAAGGAAAAGCTTGCCATTTCACCTGTCTCTACATATTTTCCAGATTCAATGGCTCGAATAAGGTCTTTGGTGGTGCTGCTGCATATTTCGCCGACCGTTTTCGTGGCATTAGTGTTGTGATATAAGGCTGGTGCAGATCAGGAACCAAGCCGTCCCATCGGAATTAATGCCGAAGTATCTATTTCCAATCAACTTGTTCGTCTCGTTGTATATATAGCCTCATATTTCCCTTTATATGATAATAGCAATTAATCTTCCTTTGAACTACAACAGGTTATGAGCCCGGCAGCAAACTCTTGAGTGCCGTATCTACTCATCTGAGAAACAATTTATCTTTCTATCTTGATTATATATATCATTCCTACCCCGCTTTCAAATCAGTCTCATCATGTCTGCTCTGGTCCAGGAGTCCCCAGATCGAGCCGTCACGGCCATCGAGCCTCTGACAGGAAGCGATAACTTCGCTACCTGGAAACGTCTCATGACCTCCTACCTCAAAGCGAGACAGGTCTGGGACGTGGTGTCGGGCGACCTTCAGCGTCCCGACTGCCTTTTCAAGTACGCCAAACCTATTACGGCGGACATCCACCCATTGGTGGAGCCCCACCTCAGTGGGGCGGTGAGGCAGCGCGCCATCGATGCGCGCCTCGAAGTGGAGGTCCAGGCGTTCGAGCGTCACCGTGAATGGTCGCGCCGCGAAGCCGAAGCCTACCACACCATCTTCCGATACCTGTCCCCCCACATCAGCATTCACGTCGCGGGGCTCGAGACGTCTCGTGACCTCTGGAATGAACTTGAAGAACGGTATCGGCGGATGGAACTCGCCACGTTCTGCGAGCTGTTTGCCCAGTTGCGTGAAACCACTGGTGAGCGCTGCGGCAGTGCGCGGGAATTTGTCGATCGGGTACGAATGTTAGTACATCGGTTGAATGCTATTGTCCCGGGATCTATCGGTGACCGGACGCACATCGCGATCCTGTTGACGCAGATCGGACCGGAATACATCTTGATCGTGGACGCGATCCAGAATGACAAGGATCCAGTCAACCCGACCACGATCGGAAACCGTCTGGCAAATGCTGAACAGACGGTGCAGCGAAAGGACGCAGCGATGCTCCCGCACGGGGTTCCTGGCGGACCGAGAAGCCCCTCAATCAATACAGTGCAGAAGAACACTAAGAAATGCAACTACTGCAAGAAGCGCGGACATGTCGTTGCGCAATGCTGGAAGAAACAGCGAGAAACGCAGCCGTCCAGGGACCATGCCCTGAAGGCCGAGAGGAGTGTTTCCGGCTCACCAAGAAATAATTTGCAAATGATACCATCAAGCCAGATGGCAGATCGGCAGGGCCCGCCGACTTCCAAGAGACCGAGGATCAATAGCGTCAGGGCGAGGGTGACGACCCTTTATACCCACGCACCGCAGCCCCGGTGGATCCTGGACTCTGCCGCTACCAGCCACATCCGCTGGGACCGGAGCTGTTTTACCAGTTTGCGGCCCCACCGCGAGGTGTTGGACGCGGCGGGCGATCCAGTAGAAGCCGAAGGGATTGGTACGGTGAAGCTCACGCTCCGGGGGAAGTTTAACCAACCCCTGGTGTTGAAGAACGTGTACTTCGCGCCACGCGTCGGGATGAACCTGATCAGCGTGCCGAAGCTACTACGAGACCGCTACTCGGTGGTGGCGCACCCGTAGAACGTCTTTGTGCAACGCCGAGGGCGAACCATGGGGACTGCGTACCATGCGGAGGAGGATCTGTTGATCCTGCGGTGCCATGTGAGCAAGAGATCTCGAGAGCGAGTCCAACTGGCGAGGGCGCCGACGATTCATGACCATGCAGATTCCCTGGAACCGCAGGCGGTGGCCATGGATGTCGACAGCCCTGAAGAGTCAAGTGGCGTAGGATGCGCATCGCCAACCTCTGAACTCGGTGGTGAAGCTGTGATACTCGAAGAAGATGCGGGCAAAGGAGTGGACCAGGCCTCCGAAGCGTTGTGGCACGCTCGGATGGGACATTTGAACCGGGGCGACTTGAGGGTGGTCCTCCGGCAGACCGGCACTCCGTACCGACCGCTGACGCAGGCGCAGCTGCAGGCAACGCCGCAGTGCCCGGCGTGTATGTCGGGTAAGCAGCATCAGAAGAGGAACTCCCGCGCAAGACGGCCACGTCTGCATTCAAGAAGAATTTTCGAATTGATCCATTCGGACATCATGGAGATGCCGATTGCCAAAGATGTCTCCAGGTACGTGATCACCTTTACTGACGATTATTCTCGTGGCTCGTGGGCCTATGCCATGAGATGGAAGCATGAAGCGCTCCAGAAGTTCCGACATTTTGAGGCTTAATCGCACCGACAGTTCGGGGCCCAGATTAGAAGATTCCTCACCGACAATGGAAGAGAATATCTGCCGATCGGAACACACCTCGAAAGCCAGGGAGTTGAGTTCGACACCTCGCCGCCATACTGCAAAGGACAGAATGGGCTGGCCGAACGCACGAATCGCACTATCCGGGAGCGGATCAACACGCTCCTGTCCGATGCGAACCTTCCTCCTTCCTGGTGGGTCGAGCTTGTCGACACGGTGGTCTATCTGAAGATGCGTGCGCCAGCATCGATCCTACAGAAGAAGACCCCGTTTGAAGTGATTTATGGGAAGCCACCGGCGCTCCTGCATCTGCGACGGATCGGCTCCCCTGCCTGGGTTTTGATCCCAAAGGAGCATCGAGCCAAACTCGGGCCGCGATCGTCCGAGTGCCGCCTACTGGGCTACTGTGAGCCGAACCAGTACAAACTGTACGAAATTCATTCTGGAAAGACAGTCTTCTCCCGCGATGTCGACTTCGATGAGCGGACCCCTGTGGCGCCACTCATCGAGGGGGAAACAGGCAACGACCTTCCGGATAATACTCCTCCATCGCCCGTCTTTTCATCAATTCCACGCTTAGCTAGCGGGCTGCCAACGCCTCCTGCATCGCCATTATCTCCGTCGAATGACCAAATGAAAATGCCCGAGGAGATCCCTCCAGTGGTCAATCCGACTGAACAAGGACTTGATGTGACCTCGGATCTTGGGTACTCAATCTACGGTCGCCGACGAAGACCGTCGCGGCGTCTTCTGGAATCACTCGGTAAAGTATACTCGGCAGGCGCATTGAAAGCATGCCCGGACAGACGAGTCGATCCGGTGACCTTTGGCGAAGCTGTGTCAGGCTCAGACCAGCTGGACTGGTGGGCCGCTATCCAGAAAGAATATTCTTCGCTTCTTGAACACGGAACATGGGAAAAGATTCGACGAGAAGAGGTTCCGGCTAGTGACCATGTGATTGGCTGCAAGTGGGTCTTCAAGACCAAAGCTAACGGAACGCGTAAAGCGCGTTTGGTCATCAAAGGCTATCGGCAGCAACAGGGCATCGACTTTCATGAAACGTTTGCGGCGGTGTCCAGGATGGACTCGGTCCGCTGCATCGTCGCCAGCGCCGTGCTGCGTGGATGGAAACTCCACCAATTCGATGCGGTCACCGCATTTCTCCATGGAGACATTGACTCCTCTATCTATATGGAGCTGCCAGAAGGCTTTGAAGAGCCAGGATACGTGTGTCGACTGCGCCGCTCAATGTATGGACTGAAGCAGGCTCCGCGGATTTGGTACCAATGCGTCCGCCGCGTCCTGTCTTCTCATGGATTCACCATGGCCCAGTCGGACAATTGTGTGTTCTACAAGCCAGACTGCGTTGTCTGTGTCTATGTCGACGACTTTCTTGTTGCGGCAGCAAACAAACACAAAATCGACCAAGTGCAGCAAGCATTGCAAGCGGAGTTCCAGCTCAATGATCTGGGCATCCCACAATCATTTCTCGGGATCCAGTTTGACCACCAGGTTGACGGATCTGTATCTATTCACCAACACCAGTACATCCAGAAGGTGCTGTCGGATTTTGGTATGGAGAACTGTCAGCCGAAGTCTACGCCGATGAACCCTAAGCAAAGCCTGAATTCTCGCGCAGAGGAGGAACCTCCGGATGAAGAAGCAAAAGCTCGCTACGCGACTGCTATCGGCTCGCTCATGTATTTGATGGTTGGCACGCGACCAGACATCGCGTTTGCGCTAGGAATGTTGAGTCGCTTCACATCCCGACCGCAATCTCATCATCAAGTCGCCCTTCAACGGCTGCTACGCTACATCACAGCCACACAATCATACCGGATCACCTACCGCAGCGGGCAATTAATTGGATACACAGATGCCGATTTTGGTGGCTCTGTCGTCACTGACGGTGCCTACTCAACATCTGGCTATGTCTTCCAACTTGCAGGCGCGCCAGTTTCCTGGTCTTCTAAGAGACAGGGGGAAGTGGCCACATCTACAACCCACGCCGAGTATATCGGACAGTACAATGCTATTCTGCATTTACAGTGGCTTCGCACCTTTCTGGCTGAAACTCACCTGTACCGCTCTCCAGTCACCAACATCATGGCTGACAATCAGTCTGCCATTGCTCTCTCTCGCAATCCCGAGTTCCATAAACGAACGAAACACTTCAATGTCAAGTTCCACTACCAGCGCGCCGTGCTGGATGCTGGCGAGATTGGGCATCAGTATGTTCCGACCGAGGAACAGGCCGCGGATGGTCTCACCAAGCCATTGGGGCCTACGGCCTTTCTCAAGTTTTGTAGTCTCCTAGGAGTGGATGCTTCGGAGACTGTGATAAAACGCGCGACAGCGCAGGCGCTCTTTCCGCTGTATTTTCCCACGAAGCTTTTTTATTGAGTGGGTTTACTGAGGCCCGACCGCTCTGCGCAGTTCTAGTATCGCCCTGCCAGCAAAGCGATCCTGAGTGGGAATGTTGTGATATGAGGCTGGTGCAGATCAGGAACCAAGCCAAACCATAGGAATTAATTCCGAAGTATGTATACGAAGAGTCAGGTTAATTTCCAATCAACTTGATCTTCTTATTGTATATATAGCTTCATGTGTTCCCTTTAAAATAAAGAGAATCAATCCTTCCTCTGAATAACTACACTTGGTGTTGTGAGAGCCAAGAAAACACTATTATGCAGGCACGCATTGGGTTGGGGCACCCCAAAGTAGCCGGCAATAACTTACAGCTTCGGAAAGCTAGAAGCAAATGGACCTCAACAAAAGGCAAACTTTCGAGTCTATCGTTCTCATGGCAACAGGATACTGAGTGCTTGTTTTTATCAGAGAGGGATATACAGGGCAGTTGCATGAGCCCCAGTGAAGACATTGAATCAAAGTGATTTACAGGATTTCATCTCTGGTGAAGTGGATTTGCAAATGCTAGGATCTGACCTTCTCTTTGTTTGACATGCGCGGTTAATGTCACGTTGTAGTTTATCACGAATGTAGGGTCATATTTGGTTTTCGCCGAACAATCCTATTGTAGATCCAACGATTTTGCCTCAGCCCTAGATTAGAGGAAGTTAATCTTGAATTTTATGTTTAAAAAACGCATTTGCACGGTCGTGAATGCTGTTGCTCCCACCACTGCGAGCCTTTCCATCTATTTCAAAAGTGCCTGAACAAGCTCGAATCAATATGCATCCGATATATCACATTATTTCATACATTATAATTCCAGGTGCGCTGGCCACAGTTTGCGCCCCAAACTCAGCAGCTTACTGTTGTGCTGGGAGTATGGATATTGGTGAAATCATGGGGCGTCAAAGCGGAATTGGAAGTGCTTGTAGGTGTCACTGAGCTGCTGAGCACCGCTGAATTATGTAAACTGAGAAGTCATAGGCTGGAAACTTCGAAGTCTCGATTCATCCTGCGTCCGCCCTAATGTCGCATTTTGTGCCTGGATAGTTGTGAGTTATGTTGTTTTTCAATGCAGGCTCCCGGAAACTGAATCTTCTATATAGAGCGCACAGCTAGACCCTATCAACATCATTGGCGAAGTGGTGACAGAGGAATTGGTATATAGCAAATGAAATCTTTCGCGGGTGTCATGGCCCCTGAGGGAGTCAAGCCAATTGTTATGCAAGGCGAATACAACGATTTGCTAGGACTTTGATCATTGCCTCTTTTTCTGATAAAGAAGCGACCTAATGTCTATTTCCGAAGTTTAAAGTACTTTCTGCTCGTTGAATTGTTTTTTCTGGGAGAGATAACCTAGTCTGTAGTCTGCACCAGTGAGGCTAAAGGGGTTTGTGCTCGCATACATGATGCCGCGATCTAGTAAAAGTCTGCCCCCCCAAGACTTTACCTTTGACATAAACTAAAGTTTACCAGTTTCAAACGAATACTTGCTGTTAGTTCTCGACAGGATGCCCTGTGGAGGAGGCCTTAATCAACGTATCGTTCCTGGGCGTTCCGGGCACACCAAGAGCATCTAAGAAGCACGAAACTAGTTTAAACGATGCAAAATGAAGTGCTACCATATTGTTGGTGTAGATAATACGACCGCTAGTCAGAATATTGTAAAAAGTTGTGTTGAGGTGGCGGACCTTCGTTATGCGAGGGTCCGTGATAAATTATTGTCCGATTTGTCTCTGGAGGCTAAAATAGAGCTATATATGCATTCCAACCTTAGACCAAATATAACTTCCCTGCTTTGTAAAGCCAATTCGGGATCAATTCCCATGAGACGGCTGGGCTGATAGGATGGCCAAAGTGCAATCCAAATGCGGAAAGTATGATAATACATTTGGTAATTCCTTATTCACCACAGAGAATAAGACGCCTCTTCAGGAGAACAATGACTACTTGAGCCACTAGCAAAGGGGCAGATCGGTAGGTAGTGGCGGCTGAAATGCCTTTGACAAAGGTCTAGATACAACTGGAGGGCTAGATCTTTCCGAAGGCTATCATATGGTCAATTTCCAAGCATATTCACACAGTGAGTACAAAGCATTGAGACAAAATTTTGGTGATCTACTCGGAGAGAGGAACGGCCAATGGTGTTAGTGCAGGCACTGAGGCTCACTGTTATGAATAAGCAACAACAATTCAAGCAGTAAGAGTACAAAATGCGTATGTAGGAACCGGGAGTTGCTTAGGGATCAGGCCAGATTTTCTCTCACTATTCAGAATAGGTGCATGTAGTTGTATCAATATGAACCATGAAGAGAAGAATATGATCATGTAAGGTATAAAAAAGTAGGGGAACTCCCCACTTTACACGATTTGCAGAATCCAAATTAGATATGTAAGATAGAATGAGGAAGTCTTTTGAGTTGCGAAATAAGAAATGAACCGCTAAGTTGTTTTCAATGTCTATACAGGATACGTCGGATGACTTCAACAGCTGATATCAACCTATTTGCAGTCAGCTAAAGGTCTTAGGAACACCTATAGATATTATAGTTAAACAGGGAAAGGGAAGTATCACTTGGTTCCAATTCTGTCTTATCAGGAAACTTTTCCATATTAAGCTGCTGAAATGGTAGTGCTGCAAGTAGGCAAGAAACCGGCAACATCTTTATGAATAGTGTGGCTTTGTCAAGATTAATCTCATCGCCTGTGTGCCACTTAGCCTATTCTTGTTCTCTCGCCATCGTCTTACAGAGAACTGAGCCCGATGTCACATAGCGAGTTGCGCATAAAATTGACTTCCGGGTAGAAAGGGTAGCGTGGTTTCCGGAGAAATGGGCTAGAACGGAAGACACATTCCTGACACATACCAAAGAAGGGTTAAAATGATGTGGATACCTGACATTCGCCAAGAAAACTTAACATGACTCGCGCTTTCAACCGGGCCAGATTTGTCATTGGTAGGAATCTGTGTCATGCCCACCTTCAATCGTTATTGTTGGAAGCTAGAGAGAGCTGGTAGGAGAGAGTTCGTGCACTGCCAACCTATACAAGATTATATGCGTCAACTTTGAAGTCAGGAATGAAGCTTATTGCTAGACTAGTCCATCAAATGTGTCTCGTTCGGCTCCTTTGTACAGATTGATCTACCCAATTTTAAACCCAAGATTGAGATCGGTGTTGTGAAGCAGGCACTGGGAAGAGGACTTGCCGACTTTCGAATACAAATAAAGCCCAGATCTTCTCTGTTTTTTTTTTTCATAGTGCGAATAAATTTCCTGAACGAACCATCTTGAGTTATTGATATCGCGCGTCCCTCCCCTAAAGGCAGAGCTAAAGACGTTTCCGCAAGGTATAGAATGGTGTATGTTTTTAAACAACGTGGTGCTCCATATATAGAAGTAATCTTCTTTTTTCATAAGCTCGAATAGCAAGCAAAATCCTGCTCTCCAAATCTATAGAATAATGGAAAGGATGGTTAAAAATAAGTGGCAGCCCTCCTTTGTTTGCAGGTCGTCTTCTTTTCCGGTGTTCGACAAGTTGCTCTCTTCTTTTTTTTTACTCAAAAACGATTCCGGCAAAGTATCCCGAATCTTAAAGGTCGCGGGGTTACGAGGGTTTCTAAAAGCATGAACCTTCATCGATGGGGACAGCCCACCCTTTGAGGGGGGCCAGGCTTTGCATGAGACGCGGGCTGAGAATGTGAGATGCACCTGATATGGCTATTCGGTCAGCCCTGGTGGTATCCATATTTGTCGCTGCTTCCTCTATAGGTTCTCGCTCCTTCTTTCCAGAGAATTACTCTCTGCACTTGCCAGTATGTCTTTGACGTGATCTATAAACAGGGGCTCAGGTGGTGCATAAGCCCTTAAGCCATTAGTTTTGTTGGCGCAAGGTCTGGCGTAATGAGCGACATAGATCAAAATCACAATGCGTAGTCTAGTCCATATCTCTACTCTTTCGAGCTACGCCTGATATATGGTCTCTCTGATACGCTCATTAACCATCAATAAGCGTAGGGCATACCATCCCTTACGACATCTCGGTCCTAGATTCTCTTTTTAACCATGCTATTACCATTCATTGCAGGCTCGGAATTCCTTGGATTATATTGTCATTTGCTTTGTGGAGGTCGATGAAGCACAATGCTTGAACAAAGTACCATTCCGCAATACTGCAGTAGTATCCCGATAGTCTCCAGAATGGGGCAGAAAAGGTATGCGGATACGCTGTTAGGAATCTAGACATCTACATGGAGGAGAATTCCCCTTATCATTCCAAAGCATAAATGCATATAATAGGTCAGCCAAATGGACTTTTATTTGGGTGGCTTTCTCCGACTGCTACGTTTGACTTGAGATAGAACATTTCAACATGGGCTGCAGAACACCGAACAATAACGATTTGATCTATATACCTAAAAATCGGAACCAGTGCGGACAAAAAAGCCGTCTTAACTCCAGTTCGCGGAGAGCTTTTGCTGGCGCGGGGGCTTTCGTCCAGGGAACGAGAGGAGAGCATCTAAATCGTCCGTTGATAAGCCATGCGGAATTCCCCTCGAATACTACCGAATTTTCTTTGGTTTTACTCAATAATTCCATTGGAAGAAGAGACTGCCCTGAGCTATTACCTTTGGTAGATCCCAGTGGTGCGAATCCGACAAAATGGCGGCATCCGAGTACTATCAGCACTTTTGATCGATGTGACTTGATCAACATCAAAAGCCGCCGCAGATACTGGAGACGTAAGGTTTTCCAAATCTCATATTATTCTTTGCTCGCAGCGGTCTCTTATTTTCTCCTTGCGGGATTTCCTCTGTGGCAAGGAGGCCTGGTATGGCTCTACGACAACATGCAGACAAAATCGCTGGTAACCAGAGGTTGGGCCATTTTCATTGGGGTATCTACTTTGTTAGACTCACCAGATTCCTTCAGCCACATATAACAAAACACTAACAAGCAATTTTCTTTCCCTCTAGGTTTTCTGCCGGTCCTCTACTTACTACCTTCGAAAACTATACTCCGCCAATCTCTGCTGAAATGGAGGGCTCAAAATCCGCGGTGAGCGAGACAGCGCTTCTTGTCCCTTGCCACAACTCAGAATCTGTGATAGGCAGAACCCTCAAGGCTGCATTGGAAGTCTTCCCATCATCTCATATCTTTGTCATCGCCAACGGAGACTCTTTGACCCCAACGGACAAGACGAAAAACGTGTGTGATAGGTATGGCGTCAATTTTATCTGGTGTCCAGTCGGTTCTAAAGCAGCTGCTCTCTTTGTTGGCTGCCATGCTGCCAGGATGTTTCGATACGTGTTCCTCATTGACGATGACTGCCTCCTTCCACCAGATGTACCAATAGTGGTGTCCAAACTTACTGATAGAGTCCGATGTATTGGTTACACGATAACATCAGTCAGTGCTTGTGGATCAATTGGTTCTTACTGTCAGCAGGCCCAGGATCTCGAATACAAGATCTCTGGACTACAAAAAATATTGGCAGGTCGAGTTGGTAGTGCCCTATTCCCCCATGGAGCTGTGTCTTTATGGGACAGACGCTTCCTCAAAAAAACATTCAAGCACCACCCGGGATTCTCCATCAGTGAGGACTGGTTCCAAGGCAATAGCTGTCGAGCTCTCGGGGGAAGAATAAAGATGTGCAGTGCGGTCTTCATTGCGACAAGCACACCCTCAGCTCTGTTTCGACTTGGCAATCGTCAAAAACGAGGTGGGTTTGGGGAGACCACTGTTTTTCAACAAAGGTTCTCAAGATGGAATTTTCTATTTGCAGGCGAAATATGGTGCAACTTGAAATACATACTCTTGTCTTGGAAGATGGGATGGCGGGATCTGACCACCAAAATTTTCGTGATTCATCAAGTAAGCCATAGTTATATGTCAACGCCAAATTTACATGCCCACTGATCCATATTGCAACGCAACAGATGACCGAAATTTTCCTGAATCTCGCCATGCCATTCGTATTGCCGATATCATTCTATTCCCAGCCCTTGAATTGCTGCGCACTCAGTGCGTTAACGGTTGTCTTGCATTTGCTGATTGTCGTCATTTTCAACTTTTATCACCTGAAGGCAAAGAGTGCTAGCATCCAATGGAGAGTTGTTTTGGGCTACTATGTGAGTCTGTTTGTTGGCATCCTTGAAGCTGTATTTGAGACAACCCAATTGATATTCATCTACAGATTCCTTTCAAAATATTTCTTATCTTGACGAATGTTGCCAGTTTCTACTGGGCAGTCTTTCAATATGGCAGGTATTTTTCGCATGTTCATCCCAGGCTACCTGAAAACCATAAAGCCGTTGCTACTATCATAAAGCTTGAGAATATAGCAGCTTTGAAGCCCGGTATTGATCAAGGCGATGATGGGAAAATGGAGCCAAGCAAAAGCTCTTTCAAAGCGAACATAACACCTGAAGCGCCAGGTGATATAGTATAGTCATCATAGCAGGATTCGTCTATGAAATGTACCACAATGAGACGCTACATTAATTCGAAAAAGCTAGGCTCTACTCGTCACCGCTTGCCCATTATAATGCAGAGACAAGTAGAAATATGATTCATTGAATCTCAGTAATTTGCTCATTGCTCATTTCTAGATGAAAGAACTTGTTGTCAAAGTAATTTTGATGCCACCAAAAGAGTAGTCTAAATGTCAAGGTGCTCCTTGTTCTAAGCTTTTGATTCAAGATTCCTGTGACTTAATTGGCGAAAAGTAGTTGCGAAAATCATATGCTTTTATCTCTGTGCCTCTTCGTCTTATTTGAGGATCTACTTTGCGCTACCATTGCTTATATGATCTTCAATGATCATAAGGATTATGATATCAGGTTGGTGCAAATAGACTCTACCTGATGCAACGGTCTAGGGCTTCAGCAACTTCATAAGTTCCGCCCAACTTATACTTATAATCTCTTTAGAGTGCGCGAGATCCTCAATATAACACTAAACATCTGGAGTTCAAGTGAATGCCAATCAATTTGGTGCTGTGGCTTTGTAATGGTAATATTTGGCAGCGATCTCAAGCTGCAAAGGCCTCATACCAGATGAGGAACGCCGATATCAACAGCGGTAATGCCACCACAAAACCGAACCAAAGGAATGAGTGTTTCTGCTTCCTTGTCGGCAGTATCATTCGGTGTTCTGGCCGCTGCGGTGATGGGACGAACCGCAAGACCGCTGCATTCTCCAGAATTCTCAGCGCTCTTTCGGTCGGATAATCTCCAGCATAAGGCACATAATACCTCAATAGAAGCTTCCAAAACAAGTTTTCACGAGTTTGAAGCCTTACAACCGCTCGTGAGGCCCTATAGATGTTGGAAATGCGAGCTAACTGCATTTCATTGAACTGGCATAAGAGATCATCTACCTGTCGGTCAGAGGGCCTGTGTAGGAGTTTACCTGATCTCAAGAACTCGTATAATGCATTTGCCAGGGAAGCAGCATCCTCGATGGAGCAATTCGCACCTTGCGCAAGGTTCGGCGTCATCTAAGGAACCAAAAATCAGGAAAGAAGTGGTTAAAGGTTTTCAGCAATCAAGTATACCTTGTGCATGCTATCGCCGATACAGACAATACGGCCACAATGCCATGTCTGGAATATGTTCTCCTCTAGTGAAGTCATGGAAAACACTTTTCGACTCTTCCATAGTTCTTCAAAACGAACATGATTCCATATATACATGTCTTTCAACTGTTCACACCGTGAGGCACCATCCGCAGGAGTGAAGCGTGGTGCGCTGCCATATTGAAATGTCCTGTCTAATTTGAGCACGACGAACCAGGAAACTCGTCCTCGGGTCCCAGGGGCAACAATAAATGAAACCCCATCGTAAACGCTCAGATGCAGGTGACCAATTCTGAGTTCTGGAACAGCCGATGAGATACCGAAGATACAGGCATAGCCAACAGTCATGCCTGAGCAGACATTTTCTTGTCAGCCATTGTTTCTTCCTCAACACTTAAGCGAGAAACACAGACGACAAATGCGATGCCTACCTGTCTTTTCGTCACTGGTCACCAAGCCAGGCCGCACCTTGTCAGCAATGCCCCACATCTGGGAGCGCACTTGGCTATGAACACCGTCTGCTCCAACAAGGAGGGCACCTTGATATGAGTGTCCACTTTGCGTATATACTACTACGCCATCGTTTTCCAGGTGGTCAACATGGACAACATTTCTGTTCACGTGTATGTTGGACTTTTCAGGGTAAGAGTCATATAGGACGCGGAGGAACAGTTGCCGTTCAAGGAATATCATGGGAAAACCGAAGCTAATGAACACTTCCCAATTAGAACGGACCCTGTCACAATAAGCAGATGATGGTAACTTACGCGTCATGCATAGTCTTAGGATAAGGGTTGCTAAACTGGAACCCATCTGGAAATCTGACGTGGGCAACATGCATCGGCTCAACCAGGTTCTCCACGGTATCGTAAAGCCCTAGTTGCTCTAAAATCTGCCCTCCATTTGGCATGATTGCAACAGAGGCCCCTTCGTCAGCCGCGATCTCAGAACGTTTTTCGAGGACGATGTTGTCGATTCCCGCTTTCTGGAGACAGTGTGCCAGCGAGAGGCCCGCAATTGAACCCCCGACAATGATGACTTTGAATGGGGGACCGGCCATCTCGGGGAAATTCAGCAAGTACCAAACACCAAAGATGAAGATGATAACGCGACCTAGAATGCATGAATATGGAGATACATTTCATATTTGGCTTCAGTTGTATTCAGTCATCTCTAGATGCCGTCATGACCCACGCTTTGTTACTGATCCCACCCTGTACAATACGACACGCTTGGATCTATAGCTGGCCAGTCTGCTGTTCCCTTGGGTCCTGCTCCATTATTTCGTGTTGGTGCCGCTTTCAGCGGAGAAATTTCAATGGTCATCGGTGTTTCGCTATCCTCCTGTACGCAAGGTCTTCTTATCTCTAGTCGTACAATGAGGCATCCCCTGTTACAATACATGTATGCTGTGCTTGTCTCCGGATTCTGTACACTCTTGCTATCGGTATCCAGTACATTCAACGTCTCTTCGCTCTCCAATCATTTGATTTTCCTGTTCTTTTTACTTCGGCGTGCCAAGAATCATTGGTGCACCGTTCAGACCCACGGATGGACCATAGAAGTACCCCATAGGAAATGTCCAACAGAAAAAACATCACACCTCCCCACCAGCCTAGCGGACTATGCCAAACGACATTTGTGTATCCATGTCGGTACCGCAGAATCTCATGTGGCAAGGCAAGGACAGTCCCGATGAATCGACTGGCCCTGGAATACCAGACAAGTCAGCCATCAAACAGAAAAGATAGTGGCCTTCCGGTATGAAAACGTACCAAATAAATAATGATGTTCCGCGCGTACTTCCTCGAACTATGAGCTGGCATAGCCCGCCAGCACTGAGTAGCAGCTGGCAGAACCAGGAGCTCCAAGCCGCTGCGGCGCTCTGTCCAACATGGGCGACCAGGGTCAAATGCGCAGACATCCACATAGCTATACTGACGGCAAAAATGCAAGGAAGATTCTGCTCTACCAATGGCGCGTGCGACCACTCGTTCGGAGCAAACTTCATAGCAGCGTATACAACAAGGAAATTGAGAGCCAACCAGCTAGCAAATATGTATGGCCAAATCGGTATGTCTGGAGGATAGATGACACCATAAACAAACTCGCAGGCGATGTTGCAACAAAGCGGCATCAGAGCCATACCATAGGTACGGTCTTGAAACGATTTGCGAATCATTGCAATGTAGTTAGCCAGCCAACCAACACACATTCCAATGCTAAGGATTGTGAGAGACCACGGAGCATCACCCACCGCATAGGTCTCTTGGAGAGGATTATGCTGAAGCATATTGGGTCATGGGCAAAGATACAATTTAGAGATTCCAGATGTCATATATATGTCGATATTTCTCAAGGGCTTCACATATGAGAACATAGTATGTACTGACAAGACGATGATCATTATACTTTAAAAGATAAGGTCAGAATTTGCGACTTTATTTCCAAGCGCCACACTCGGCCCAATATATTAAGATGCAAAGCTCCACCGAGTGGGGGTAGTTTCATAAAGCCCTGAATCTTCGAAGACTATATAAACTCCAGTCAAAGAATTCGCGTTCTCTATGTAACCCTGGTGCAAAGACTAACACATAATGAGATGTGCTCCGGGAAGTTCCATATTGGGTAAACCGTCCCGAATTAGAGTTTACGGCTGAGGGTGGGTGCGGGCCGCGGAATCCTTCTGCTGAAAGCAGTCACGTAAAAGGACTATACATTCTTGGCTTCCAACAAGCATGACAGAAATGACACACAACCCAAATATTGTGCAAATTTAATGACGAGGAACCACATATGTGAAGAACGAATCTAGAAGTGTGTGCATTCAAATCAGCGATCTTTCCAATCTACAAGTTTGATTCACCGCATCTGGAATATTCTAGATAATAGATTTTGGCAACGATTGGCTGGCGAGGAATCTTTCGGCTCGTGCTGTATGCTGATTCCCTTCTCCGTGCAGCGACAATCTATTCCCTTGGAATGCTCCCTCGATCCAAAACCTGATATTATCTGGAATTTGACAAACTTTCAGGTCCTTGAGGTTTCCAATTACTAAAAGTCCTTTGGCCGACGCTTCTGGAGCCAGTGCCATGGATTCGAATAAGTAACCTGGCATGATTTTGTCTTAGTTTGTAACATAGGATTGATGGTTTCAGTCATTACCTAGAACGTTTCTGGGTCATGGGCCGTGTTGGAGCACTCGAGTAGCCTTACACCTCATCTGTCTGCTTGGTCGTGTCTTTGACCCGTTACGCCCCGTCCTCACCTAACAACCTAGTATTGTGGATACTATTCTAAAATTGAATCATGGCAAGGTGACCCACAGATAATCTTACTTATTCGAACTAGTGTTTCAATGGTGTCAACGAAACATCGAAGTCAAACATGTCATCACTCAAGGATCTTGATACAAATGGCACATTGCGGTTTATGATCAATGGCCTGGACACTATTCCTTGATGTCACATCCCTCTCATTTATCAGGCGTAACCTGAGCAATACGGGTTTCCACTTAGTGAAGCCCAAAAACAGCCCATGCCAAGCGTCATCAAGATGGGTATGGAGGATACGACCCATGAATGGCTATAAGCGACGCCTGAATAATGGTTGTATCTTTCATGACAGTAACAAGAGCAGTCATAAAGGCAAATATGATATATGTAAAAGGTAAGTCTTCTTCGCAGCCTGTCTCAAGTGACTGCTCCTTCATGTAAAGCAATATTTTGAACAAGATGTTGCAGACAAATGAGATCACAACACGAAGCACCACACTAGTTGGCCGCCCTGAAGGCGGCTCCTTGTCATTCAGAGTGAATCGGTCACTCTCTCTTGCGGCAAATCACAGCATGGAGCAGATGAAGCCGGACGGACACTGGTGTGGTGAAGTCAAGACAAACGCAACTACGACTGCCGAGTATGTTTTTCTTTATCATGCTTTAGGACTAGACCTCCTGAGCGACCGGGAAGCAATCATCTCCTGGCTGCTTTCCGTGCAAGCAGCAGATGGCTCTTGGAGCATCGCGCCGTACTATCCAGGAGACATCTCAACGACAGTAGAAACTTACCTTGCCTTGAAACTGCTTGGTTTGCCTGAGGAGAGCCACCAATTGCACAAATCTCGCGACTTCGTCATCGCAGCTGGTGGAGTTGCCGGAGTCCGCATCTTCACCCGCATATATCTCGCCATGTTCGGCCTATTCCCGTGGACCGCAGTACCAGAATTGCCCCCTGAGTTGATCCTTGTGCCATCGGCCCTACCTATCAGTATCTATCAATGGTCAGCTTGGGCGCGGGCAACTATTGTGCCGCTTCTAATCATTTCTCATCATCGTCCTATCTATGCTCTGCCAAACGGGAGATCTGAATCCAACGTGTATCTGGACGAATTGTGGTGCAACCCAACTAATAAAACCGTTCCTTACACCAACGACTTGCTGGTGTCGTGGGGATGTGACACCATCGCTTTTGCGTTCAACTTGGTTGACTCATGTTTACATCGCTTGAATGGCCTGAGGAAGTTCAACCCTGTCCGTCGGTATTCCATTCGAAGATGCATTGAGTGGATCCTTGTGCACCAAGAGGAGGCCGGAGATTTTGGCGATATAATGCCGTCACTGCATGGAGCTATGTTCGCTTTGAGTTTAGAAGGCTATGGGTTGGATTCGGACCCTGTCCGTCGAGGACTGAAAGCCATCGAACGATATTCGTGGCGCGACTGTCTCGGGAAGAGGATTCAAACTACTGTTTCCGCTTTCTGGGATACCAGCTTGATGATTATTGGCCTCAGTGATGCCGGAATGCCACAGAACAGTATAGCTCTTACACGTTCTGTATCATGGGCTCGAGGTCGACAGGTTCTCGGTAAATACGGTGACTGGGCGCTGTACAATCCCAGACTGGAGCCGGGTGGCTTTAGCTTTGGGTACTTCAACACCTGGTACCCCGATGCAGATGACACAGCGGCGGCCATTCTGTCAATGATCAGACAGGACACTCATATTGTGTTTTCGTCTCATGTGCTACGCGCACTGAAATGGCTCCTTGGAATGCAGAACAAAGACGGGGGCTGGGGAGCCTTTGATCGGGACAACAACAACCTGTTTCTGAACAAGATTCCTTTCAGCGATATGGAGGCTTTATGTGATCCATCTACTCCAGACGTCAGCGGTCATGTCCTTGAGGCCTTCGGACTCTTTCTGTCAATTAGCAGGAAGAACAAGATGCAAGCCGATGAAAGCAAACTGGTCGATCATCTGACAGCGGCCTCCCAAAGAGCGATTGATTACCTTTCCGGTATGCAAGAGTCCTCGGGTGCCTGGTATGGGCGCTGGGGTTGCAATTATCTATACGGAACTAGTGCTGCCCTTTGTGCACTGCAGTACTTTCTCGGTACTACAGAAAAGAACTCTTATGGTGGAAGAGACGACAGCATTCTTGACAGTGTTAGAAACGCAACCCAATGGCTGGAGGCCACTCAAAACCAAGACGGTGGTTGGGGCGAGACACTACACTCGTATGAAGATCCTCTGCAAGCTGGCTCCGGCCCATCAACCGCATCGCAAACAGCGTGGGCGCTTATGGGCCTGCTTCCTTACTTACCGCCATCGACAAAAGCCATCCTTAGTGGAGTGGAATATCTACTAGGAACACAAAAGAAGGCTGGTCCCCAAGGTGCGACGTGGCATGAGGGGCATTATACCGGGACTGGATTCCCAAGCCACTTTTATATCGGCTACTCATTTTATCCTCATTACTTTCCTTTGATGGCACTCGGAAGATTCGCCGAAGCAATGCGGCAGCACCCGCTGAGCTTATTTGCGTCATCCACAAAGCCCATCACTACTTCTGAGGGCGAGTTGGGCGATCAGGGTCCTGTCACGACCAGATTGAAAGTGTAGACTATCACTCTTATGAAGTCTTCGGGTCACTCAAAAGAAACATCTGCTGCATTCCAGCTCATTAATAGCTTGCCCCCAGAGAGCAGGATAAGCGGTCGTTTTTTGCAGTAGTTATGTGAGAGATAGTTCCTCTCTTTCAGTCTTTGTCCCCCTTGGATGGCTTTCCTTTCCAAAGAACATCACCCCAGGCCAGGGCTCTGTAATTGTTTTACTTTACTTCTTCTTTTGTAGGCAATATAACTGATTATTCTTCCACACTCAAGGCACTTGAATGAAAATCTTCATAGAATACGGGCCCAAAATCGGGCATGCCAAATTCTGGTCAAACAAAGCGTGAAATTGAAGGACCGTAGACCACCAAAAAGGCTTTATCATGAGGACTGGAGCTTGAATGACCCATATTTCTGACCATGTCGCAATTTCTTTTGGTCGATGGTCCTCCTAACTTTCGGGATCTTTTCTTCAAATTCTACCTCGCTCCCTCATATCTTTTGTTTGATAGATTGTGTTCTGGCTGTTCTAGCGGTGAGACTTGTGGGCTTGGCTATTAGTTAGTTGACGACGTTATCAATTTCTAAGCATTTCATTGTGACGGGACAAATATGCTAGTTGATCGCGTAGAGGCGAGGAGCGACCAATGGTAGTAGAGCCAACCAGCTTTTCACTAAGCTACCTGTAGTATTTCAGTTCTTCTACCACTACAGGAACTCTGCCATCCTTTTCAAAGTCCCTTGTCTAACTCCTTTACCAGCCAGGGAATCTCAAACAATGCACACAGCTTCGTTTTTGACTGAATATGCATGAATTCCGAACACACAACGCCGCATTTTTCAGGCCAGAAGTTGCATGCTGTTCTCACCCCAGTCTACCGGCCCTCGCAGTTTCAGGCTGCGTACCATTAGAGCACCCTTGGAAGTTTCTTGATACCTTTTCTGGGCTAGTAGAAAATCTTTCATTGTTCAAATTGCTCAAACCCCCTTTTGATGTTTGTTGTAATCCAAAGGAAAACGGGGGGCTATACAGTCAACTTCCACTTATATCACCCCCCTCCGTCCTGACGAAATTGTTGTAATTCAAAAAAAAGATTGATTGTTATATTTGAGAAGGAAACATAGGACTATATATACATCAAGAAGAACAAGTTGATTTCCAATCAACTTGATTCTTCGTATAGATACATCGGGATTAATTCCGATGGTGCGGCTCTGTTCCTGATCTGCACCAACCTGAAATCACAACATTCCCCCTCAGGATCGTCTTGCTGGCAGGGCGATACTGGAGTTGTGCAGAGCAGTCAGGCCTCGGTAAAACCACTCAAAACCTTCGTGGGAAAATAAAGTGGAAAGAGCGCCTGCGCTGTCATGCACGTTGCCTTGGAATCTCCGAAGCGTCGATTCCTAAAAGACTACAGAACTTGACAAAGGCTGTAGGTCCCAATGGCTTGGTGAGACCATCCGCGGCCTGTTCCTTGGTGGGAACGTACTGTAGGTCAATTTCTCCTGCATTCAGCACTGATCGCTGATAATGGAACTTCACATTGAAGTGTTTGGTCCGTTTATGAAATTCGGGATTATGGGAGAGCGCAATAGCGGATTGGTTGTCAGCCATGATATGAGTGATTGGGGATCGATACAGATTTGTTTCTGCTAGAAACGTGCGAAGCCATTGCAGATGTAAAATGGCATTGTATTGGCCAATGTACTCGGCATGAGTCGTAGATGTGGCCACTTCCCCCTGTCTCTTGGACGACCAGGAAACTGGCGCACCTGCAAGTTGGAAAACATATCCAGATGTTGAGTAGGCACCGTCAGTGACGACAGAGCCACCAAAATCGGCATCTGTGTATCCAATTAGCTGCCCACTGCGGTAGGTGATCCGGTATGATTGTGTGGCTTTGACGTAGCGTAGCAGCCGCTGAAGGGCGACTTGATGATGCGATTGTGGCTGAGATGTGAAGCGACTCAACATCCCTAGCGCAAACGCGATGTCTGGTCGCGTGCCAACCATCAAATACATGAGCGAGCCAATAGCGATCGCGTAGCGAGATTTTGCTTCTTCATCCGGAGGTTCCTCTGGGCGAGAATTCAGGCTTTGCTTAGGATTCATCGGCGTAGACTTCGGCTGGCAAGTCTCCATACCAAAGTCGGAGAGCACCTTCTGGATGTACTGGCTCTGGTGAATGGATATAGACCCGTCAACATGATGGTCAAACTGGATCCCGAGGAATGACTGTGGGGTACCCAGATCATTGAGCTGGAACTCCGCTTGCAATGCTTGCTGCACTTGTTGGATGGCATGTGCATCCGCGGCAGCAACAAGAAAATCGTCGACATAAACACAAACGACACAGTGCGGCTTGTAGAACACACAGTTGTCCGATTGGGCCATAGTGAAACCCTGAGAAGCCAGGACGCGGTGGACGCATTGGTACCAAATCCGCGGAGCCTGCTTCAGACCATACAGTGAACGGCGCAGCTGACATACGTACCCTGGCTCTTCAAAGCCCTCGGGCAGCTCCATATAGATAGATGAGTCGATATCTCCATGAAGAAAGGCGCTGACAGCATCAAATTGGTGGAGTTTCCATCCGCGTAGCACGGCGCTCGCGACAATGCATCGGACTGAGTCCATCCTGGAAACAGCCGCAAATGTTTCATGAAAGTCGACGCCCTGTTTCTGCCGGGCTCATAACCTGTTGTAATCCAAAGAAAGATTGATTGTTATATTTGAGAAGGAAACATAGGACTATATATACATCAAGAAGAACAAGTTGATTTCCAATCAACTTGATTCTTCGTATAGATACATCGGGATTTATTCATCAACTTGTTCTTCTTGATGTATATATAGTCTATGTTCCCCTCTCAAAATATAACAATCAACCTTCCTTTGATTAACAACAGATTATTCTACGCGCCCACGCGTAGATACGCTATGCTATAATAGGAAGGCGGCATTGTGGGCGGTCAGTAGGGGTGGTCGGAGACATTTGACCCGCCACTGTATCTATGCCGTGTAAAACAATCCACTCACGTGACATCATTGTCGCGGGGCTGACGCAACCCGGACTTGCGCAAATTAGAAAACTTGCTTCACCAATTAGATTGTACACCCAAGTTTCGTGTCGCCAGCGCCGGTTCGTCGATTGTGCCTAAGTTTTCGCTGCACGATGCCAAACAAAACACCAAACTCCTGGGAAGAGGAACTCTCCCAACAAACGGAAAATGTGAATATGAACCAAGGTCTGAATGACCTCAGTAACGGCGATACCACGGACGCTACCGATTCTGGTTCCGTTGCTAAAACAACTACTGCTAAACCCCTGGATAAGAGTAGAGGTTCTATAGCCAGTGCTTCTGGCAAGTCTTCGGTCAAATTGCCCGGTCGCTCTATCTTAGCTCGCGGCAATATCGAAGCTGCCAAGGCTGCTCGTGCTGCCGATGCTGTCGCCAAAGCACAGCAGGCCGACGTCGATGATGCCACCCTGAAAGAGATATACGGAGAGAAGCGTGAGCACGTTAACGTTGTCTTCATTGGTCATGTTGATGCTGGAAAGTCTACCCTGGGTGGATCTCTGCTATATTGCACCGGCATGGTGGATGACCGTACGATGGAGAAATTTAAGAGAGAAGCGAAGGAGGCTGGATGCCAATCCTGGTATATGTCTTGGGTTCTAGATCTGACGGAAGAGGAGCGAACCAAGGGTAAGACTGTGGTAAGCACTCCCTATCTGCCTAAAAAGTCCAGTCGTGGCTGGACATACTCTACATAAGGGCGACCATTTCGGTAAGAAAGCTGATTGTCCTTGAAGGAAGTAGGAAGAGCGCATTTCAGTGTCCAGGTTCCTCACCCCGAGGGCACTATTGAGCGACGTTTTTCCATTCTAGACGCTCCTGGACATAAGTCTTATGTTCCCCATATGATTGGTGGTGCTTCTCAGGCAGACCTTGCCTGCCTCGTCATTTCTGCCCGCAAGGGTGAGTACGAGACCGGATTCGAAAAGGGTGGCCAAACACGTGAACACGCCCTTCTTGCCTGTAACAGCGGTGTGCAAAAATTGGTCATTGTCGTCAACAAGATGGATGACCCCACTGTCGACTGGTGCAAAGCGCGTTTCGACCAGTGCACTGCTAAGGTTATTAAGTTCTTGGAAGCTCTTGGCTACAAGAAAAAAGGATATTCTCTGTATGCCCGTTTCAGCCCAGCGTACGCTGGGTATCAAAGAACGCATTCCAAAGGACGTCTGTCACTGGTATAATGGTCCTTCCCTACTAGAATATTTGACGGACTTTGAGCTCCCTGAGCGTAAAATTAATTCTCCGTTCATGATGCCGGTCACTTCTAAGTACCGAGACATGGGCACAATGTGTGAAGGCCGGGTTGAATCTGGTGTCATAAAAAAGAACAGCAGCTACCTGTTGATGCCTAACAAAACCGAAGTTTTGATATCCGCTCTCTACGGCGAGACAGAAAACGAAATATCGACTGCCAGTGCCGGTGACCAGGTTCGTCTCCGTCTGCGTGGTGTCGAAGAGGAAGATCTACTCCCAGGCTTTGTGCTTTGCTCGCCGAAGCGTCCTGTTCACTGTGTGCATACCTTCGAGGCCAAGATTCGTATCTTGGATTTAAAGAACATTCTCACTGCCGGTTTCAATTGTGTGATGCACGTTCATTCTGCTGTCGAGGAGGTAACTTTTGCTCAACTTCTCCACAAGCTGGAGTCAGGAACCGGCCGCAAAAGCAAGCGTCCGCCGTCGTTCGTCAACAAGGGTCAGACAATAATTGCCCGCCTTGAGGTCACTAGCGCTGCTGGAGCTGTGTGCGTGGAAGAGTACACAACGCTAGAATCGATGGGAAGATTTACCCTGCGCGATCAAGTATGTCCAGTATATTGAAGCTAAGAGGTTCAAAAATAGTACTAACACGATATAGGGCCAGACCATTGCGATTGGTATGATCACTAAACTCATCCTCGGGGGCAACGAACATTAAATATGGATGACAACCCATGACTCGATTGTCTAAAGCGGAGAATGAGTTCGAAGGACAGCCCGTGGCATTGGTACGGTTCTTCACGATACCCTGGGAAATTACTGGCTTGCCTACAGAATAATCCCGGCGTTGAATCCTGTTAGAATATTCATATTTCAAAGCGACCCGAAAGCTTCATGCTGCACACTTGGTAGGTTCCGGAAATAGTGATCAATGGGAGGGTACAGCGATCCTGAATGTTGCTTTCTCCATATTCCTTCTTTCTGCCTCTGCTGCCCCCGCACGTAGAGCTTGGATTTCGTCTGGAATGTCTCCTTGGGTCTTCGGAACATCGCCCTTCTCGGCTAAGTGGGCCAGGCATCTAAGGGTCTGCGTGAGGAGTCAATAAAGCCTTTTACCAAACGCGGGTATAGCTCCCCGCGAAGGTATAAGAGAGTATAGAGATATAAAGCTGATTGTCTGGACAACCTGTTTTCGACTGTTCGGCAAGTATGGCCGGGATCTTGCCGGAAACCGTAGTTACGGTAAATTTGGTGACTAACCAGAAATACATCAAAGAAAAGATAGTGGGGACTTGGACTAGCTGAAGGGAGTTTGGCGCGCTGTTTATCCTATTCCAAAGTGAAAAGGGGATTGTAGTCAGTAAGCTCGGGCTGGGCAATATAATATCACTCCCAATTCAATAGCTGGAGTTATACAATAGCTTCCTACTCAATAACCCCATGCGCCGGTTTATCTGTAGAGGAGAGGGAAGAAGAGAGGGAAGCTATGCTACGTACATATAGGCATCTGCCCACTCTCCAGACCAATCGTTATTGGTCTGTATCCGGGAGTGGGTCAACCCGTCCAAATTATGCAAACATGCCCGTCCCGAACCTCCTCTATGTAGCTACACTACACATAGCAAGGCTTGTCTCAAGACACTATCTGTCTTATGACACTCTTTGTCTTGTATCAAGCTTTGTCTTATACCATGGATTGTCTAGAGGTGGGCACGATATCGCGATCATCGCGATGAGAAAACGATTAGTAATATCGTATCGTTATCGTATCGCGAAGGCTAGAATATTAGCGATACGATATCGCGATATCGCGCGATATAGATTTAATGCCTAATTTATGCCTTAAGAGTCCAATAAAATCATGTGATATATATACAGTGGTGTTCCATAAGTATTTGACCTTGGGTACTTTGGGGCACACACCGCTCCTCCAGACCGCCTACTATATTAGTATATTCAGATCTCACGCGCGACCAAACACGCTAGCATATACAGTATTATACAGTAATATAGACGCGGTTTCCTATTTTTTCTTCCTATATTATCTCAAATATTATGCCTCCTATACGTGGGAAGCGAGGCCCAGAGCTTGATTGTCTTACAAGGGCCAAGATCTGTGAGCAGCATGATTGGATCGAATTGTACTAGGGCATACGCGTTCGCTCCAGTCCGACAGATGGGTACATGTGAATTCTGTAAAAGTACTTTATAGAAGGAATCATGAAGGAGCAAACTTGGATCAACGAGAATTCTTGGAGAGGACGTATACATGAGGCGGCTCATGGGACAATGGCGAGTGAACGCGCGAAGTGGGTCGAGGGCAGATCAGCCAGTGTGAACCTGAGTAATGATTGCCGTTCACCGCTTCACCGCATGTTTGTAGCCCGACGAGTCAACGTCAGCACTTACCCGTCAACACTCACCCATCAAAAATCACTCCCATCAAGAATCGCATCAGCTCAAAGTCGCTCTCAGCACCATTTCCCACTTTTCAAGGCCGGACGATCTTTGACGGCTCAGGTCACTACTTGGTCAGCATCACGAATCCTGCCTGGACGGGGTCCTGGCATTGGGTTCGCGAATGAGGGAATCATTCAGACAAACTGCCTACTTTTAAAATATGTCTCGTGCAGTTCGAGACGACCGCTTTGAATTGGCTCATCAGTGGGCATGTCGAGGAACCTATTGCGTAAAGCGATTTCACTAAATACGACACTAGGTATAGCCTACGAGAGAGCTTTGAATCGACTGAACTGATAATGTGATGATTGCATTTCCCAGTGGGCTGCTATGGCTCATGCTTTAGTCTATCTACTGTGCAAGTCTTGGCTTCTTCAGTCCCCATGGGAGTTGCAGTCCCCAGGGGAGATGAATACTGGTCCCTAGCACCACGCAGAGGTGCTTGCACATTGCTAGGGGCCTTGATTTCGCAGATGTCCCTGCGGAGGCGCTTGATTTCGCAGCTGTCTCCTGCGGAGGCTCTTGGTGTCGCAGATGTCCCTACGGATCCTCTTGGTAACGCATTTTTCCTTGCGGAGAACTTGGTAATGCAGCGGTCTCCTGCAGAGAACTTGTTGACGCAGCGGTCTCCTGCGGGTCTCAATTGTCATCACAGCGTCCCCCTGCGGAGTTCACTTGGTAACGCAGCGCCCCCCTGCGAAGCACCGTTCTTATGTCACTGGGCTTGGATCAGCAACAGCCGTCGTCACGGAAACCTCAGGCCCGAAGGTCAGAGGCGACACACCGCGGCCGCGACGTGTGAAGAAAGAGAAATGCATCGGGGAGGAGCCTGCTTTTATGGACTTCAGCTATGCTTTCTCGCAAATACCAGCAGTGCAGGTTTCTCACCGAGGACGGTTCTGGCGGTCGATGCAATGTCTTCACCGGTCTTGAACCATGAGCTGGACGATGCTGTTGAATGGATCGCCAATCATGTCGCGGCAGACAGCACCACGACCGTTCATTCCATCTGGGTGTGTAGTATTCCTGACTCACAGAAAGTGCTGGTCGAATCACAAAATTGGCGCAGTTGCAATCGGAGGGCAAAGAGCTGGCTCGCCCATGGTTCACAGTAGTGGTACGGTGAGCTCAGGGAAGTGAGTCAGAATAAAGGTCCTCAGCATTATGCTGCGCGTGCGAAAGTGCCATGGTGGAGGACTGTGGTCAGGTCATTGGTCTACTTTGAAAAGGCCCGTCGAATTGCGTGCGGCTTCCATGTCACCTCCGCTTGACCATGCCCAAGTTCTGGCGGCTTATTGTGAAGTACTGAGGTACACGGCTTGGCAGGTTTTGTCTTTGCTGCACATTCAGAGAAAGAACGCCTACATGATCGCTATTCACGGGTATTCCTTCCATACATCCCTGACTGGACTTGTGCAGAGTCCCACGTGTCCACATATTCTACTTAAGGGCTGATATTATGTGACCAAGATTGGCAGCGGAGAGGCTGCAGAGAGCTCTAAGTTCTTGGTGATTGTCAATATACTCTGATTATGGCACTACTATCAAAAAGCCATGGCATATCCACTTAGTGAATAACTGTCTCCAATTCTCAACTTTTGGCGGGACGCACTTTTGTGTCTTTCGTAGAGTAGTGTATGCCCGGCACCCGCTACTTGAGGAGCGGTGCTTTGTGCTGGAACGGCCGAAATGTAATGGAAAGCGACTCCAAGGACGCCGCGGACAGTTTTCGGGAGTCGCAGAAAATTGAGTAATCTCGCATTTATCAACATTCTCTTGGGTTCTTCTGGCTTTCCTCGCTGATCATTCACTGTCGTTAACTCAACGTTGAGGCACCAGAGTGGATATGGTGGCCCCACCTCGACCCACAGGCCGCACTGGTGTGGATCCAAGGTACCCGTGTTGGCTCAACTTAATGACCATGCATTGTTGTGGTCTTGCCAATTTGGGCTGCCCACGATTCACATTATGCTTGAGGATGAAGGATAACTTTCACGTTCCCTCCAGGGCGTGTGTTGTGTTGTGTTCACACCTCGCCCGTCCATACAAAGGTGGTAGAAGCGGGGCGAGCAAATGCATTTTGTTTGTAGGTATTTATTTTTCCGCTAGTTAATGGGCGAGAGAAAAGTCAGGAGAGTAGTCAGGTCAGGACTTAAAATGAAGGCCTCATGGTACTCGCCTCAATTTTCTCTTTTCAACAAGTATCTGTCATTCCATATATTGTTGATAGCACTTCTGTTTGCTCATCGCCTTTTAGTCAACTGATTTCGCTAGTGAATAAGGTTTACGACCCCATTTGGCCATCCCTAATTCGAGTGACCTCTACTTCAACGGTTCTCCATAATAACTATTTGTCATTCCGCATATTCTTGGGACGCCTCATGTTTGCTCATCGCTGTTGATTCAACTGAATTCGCTGGTGAATAAACTCCGATCTCTCAATTAGCCACTCCTTCACTTTCTTGGTGGCATTCTGGCCGCACTCTACTTGAATCTTGTATCCTTACCAACAATTTGTCAATCGATCCATTATTGCTACTCCTGTTGGCTCACCGCTGGTGAGTAACCATGCTTTTAAGCGCAGAAAACTGCTAGCTGGTATGCCATTTCCCCTCTTAAGCGCAAAGAACCAGCAAGCCTCATAGTTTGCCACTATTGGGTCCTGACTGGAGCGCTGCAGAACTAAGCGAAAGACGAGGCACTCCGCCCTGGGAGGTATAAATATGCTCCCACCCGTCTTGCTTGACTTTCCTCTTGCATGTCTCCTCGCACATCTCATTTGCGAAGATTGACTTTGATCATCTCCTTTTGTCTACTACTTGTGAGTGTACCCAGTCATCAGCTCAAGACTATCTATCTATCACTGATAACACTCTTTCTCTAGGACTGATATACGAGGAATCATACGTGAGTACCACCCTTCCCTAGTTAAAGCTTACACTAACACCGTATATTCCTCTATTCTGCTAGACTTCCAATCTGTCCACCGGGGCAGCAAAATCTCTACCAAGGTGAGGTGTCAAATTGGTTTGATCCATGGAATCTGTACTATGTCCTATCTAACGATCTCATAGTAGAGCTTCTCGGAAGGTCTGTGTACAGTCAGATCTGAAAACATTCGATGACAACCATGACAGGCTCTCTACCCCTGATAAATTACGGTAGAGCTTTTATATGGTAGGCCCAATAAAAACTCCATGAGGTCAATCGCTGATCAAACAAACTTCTATCACAGGAACCTCTCACGAAAAGGTAATGGATTGATACGTCATGAATACCGGCGAACGTTGAATGTGATCCGTGTTCCCGACCTTTGATTGAGTTTTGAGGCCGATTTCACCCCGAATACAAGAGACGCACTCTATATTCAAGCGTCTCTAGCCTTACGCCTTCGTCGCCACGCCGACAAATACCTTAAAGAAACAGTAGCGCGTCAACCATATCAGCGATGAGGACGTACTGCCATCAGGTAAGTATCTCATATCACCAGATCTCGCTCTTTTCCATTCGACTCCTTGCGCTGCATTTCTTGCATACATCCAGGCCGGGGTAAATCAGTCCCTCACGGTATGAACGTGGGTGAGTGACGGCACTTCTCGAACAATTCGCTAATGGCAGATCATTGACCCCTCATAGAGCCTTTCGATACACCGGCAGTACACCAGTGTGTACGCAATACATGGCGCGTGACGCTTAAACCAAACGAAAGCCCAGATCCACTGCAAGGCTATGTCGATGGTTTCAAGGTCGCGCACCCACACCCCATCTGATACGGCTCTTCCAGAACGAATGGCCATTCATCAGGCTTCGCTCAGCGCTTGCTGATTGTGTCGTGGTCCAACTAATTGAATGGTGGAACTGCCAGCCCCCATCAACCCTATTGACTCCAACACGGCGGGTATCGGTTAAATTCGCGATCTTGCTCCTCGATGAAGCAAACTCAGTGTGAGCTGTAACCGATCATTTTTTAATGTATATTGGGAAAGCTTTCAGCTGACACAATCGAGCTCCGTACACTCAATGGCATATACCCCGCAGTCACGAAAACCATATCTCAAGCTACGGATTATCGGTCATTTCAGAGCTCCGAGGACTGCGTCTAGTTATGCCGCCATGCTGAATGACTTCTTGCCTGGCAATGGTCGCACTGCCGCCTGTTTTCATATATATTAACTACTTTCGCATTGACAAGAGTATCCCCTTTCATGCTGACCTATCTTTATTCCTCCTCTCTGGATGCTAACACTGCCTTTAGTGCGACTGGTTACCGACGCGCTCCCCACCCACTCCATGCGCGTATCAGCAGAACATAACCTTCGACGCCTGCTCTGGAGACTCAGGGGCTCAATCGCACTACGAGTCTACTATAAGAAGCGCATTACCCACATTACCCAACAGGTGGCTTATATCGCGTCCGCCTCCCTGCCTTTATATTGGTATGGCTGACTATCGTTCCAGCACACCTCGCACGTCCATCGACAGATTTATTACTTGAGTCCCACTCATTGGTAATGCCGTCGTCTCTCATTGAATATTGTCTTCAGCCATATTCACAACAGGCTTGGTTTTAAGCGGCATTAGACGCGAGGCCTGCTGCAGTCAGGCTCTGGAGTTTAACAGTAGACGGCTAGCGTGGCTCCCTGTCTCACCTCACCCAAGTCAACACCTACGCGAAATGAACAGTTTATGACAAGGCCTGCTGTTTGATCCGCATTATGCCGATGGCTGTTCTGCATTGTCATTGGACAGGCCACTTTTCATCACCGTCTTCCGCATCGGCATCTGTGAACATGCTGTTGAGACGTGCTCTTGGCATACTGTGAGCAGAGGCTTTTCAAGGTGGGCTTGACGTTTATCTAGAGGCAGAGCTATTGAAGAGTACCACTCATATGCCTGTGGTGGCCATCTCGCTGTCGGCATGGGCACTGCACTTACGATGCGTCTGCGGTATAATTGATCGTCGGTTTGAAGGGGTTATACCCGATAATACATACTGCGAGAGGATAAAGCTGATTGAAACTTGACTCTCAATATGGAGATCTGAGGAGTTAATTCCAATGATGCGGCTCCGTTCCAGCACCGGCATCAAATCACGATATCGTATCCACGTGGCTGTGTGGGTTTTCTGATGGGGCGACTTATGAAGCAACTGCTCAACATGAAGGGAGTGCCAACATTTTCTGTGCCTTTTGATTTTTCAAGACGGCCTACATTGACGGAATCAGACTTAGGTCGTTCTTCCTAAACCTAAACGGTCAGACGCGCCGCTGACTACTTGCCGCAGCTCACTTCGCATGACGTCATTTCCCAAACACTTCTCCACTGGGCTTCTTCGCGATGAGTGCATCTCACAAGTGAGCATCGATGCACGAGCATTGAATTTCCACAACGATTGGATCGTTCTCATTTGCGTTTTTCAACGGCTGATTCTTCTTTATATTCTGTTCTTGCCGGCGCTAAACGAGCTCGCGCATTTGACATCCCAACTGTTTCTAAGCGGGAAACCTGTCAAAAACAAATAGAAAGGAGGCCAGCAAAGAGCTCCAATGGTCCGAATATGGCTCTAGGGAGGGCAACTTGGGTCTTTACCCAATTCAAGCTAATTGTGCAATCGGACGTGCATCCAGTCTTGAGAGCGCTGCGTTGACAGGGATGCGACGCTCAACAGTGGGATCAGCAGCAAGGTCAATCGAAAACTTGACTTCATGAGAGGTGTCCATACATGATGGAGACACAATGCCGCAGCATAGCAAATTATGGGATTTCACCGCATCCCTGACGCCAAAAGCTAATAGTCCGACCTCAATGGGGTTAGCTCTCAAGCGCAGCTCGCCTTGATAGGCTTTAACGGTGTGGTGTTGAAACTTACCCACTCGCTTTTCATTTTCGTCTAGAACGGAAAGATTCGGCTATACCAGATACCAATGTACTAACTACCGCGCAATGGAATTGTTGGCACGGGCGCTGCCGGATGGGCCCTCGTGGGATATTCTGAGTTTGCGGCAATTAATGGCATTCAACGCGATCACAAAGCTTGAAGTCACGGTCTTGACATTAGCGGCTTCTCAAATGGAGGTCTTACCATGCTGGGTGCCTTTATCAATCAGATACTACTCGTCTACTTTGACCTAAATGAGCCGGTGATGGTTTCACTGCAGCGAACCACGGTCGGAGTAGAGTCCAGGCAAGGAAATCGCTCTGCTACTCATGGGTGGTGATTCTACTATGTGTGATGCAGGATTTCCTCATGGGGGTCTACGGATGGTCCCATTGCCAGGTATTCAAAATCCATTGTCGGGTGTTTGCGAGATGTTCGTACGTGACCAGGCGGCTTCCAGTGCATAATATGTCTCAACAAGTGACGATTGGGGAAATCGCCTGCCCTTTCCTGAGGTTAAAATGGAACATTTCCAATCAACTTGGCTCTCCGTATAGATACATCAGGATTAACTCCGATGGTGCGGCTCCGTTCCTGTTCTGCACCAACCTGGAATCACAACAGGTTGACCCGGCTTCCACATTCAACTCCCGCCTAGGGCCGGAGAGGGCCGACACCCGAAGGGTGGCCCCGTATACCGAAGGCCCGCCCAAACCAAACGCCACAACCCCCGGAGGGAAAGTCTAGAATGGTTCCCGCGGGCACATTGGGAGCGACCGAAGGGAGTGGACAACTATGGACACCTTCTACCCAGTTAGGGCCTGGTATTCCCACGGGGGATTTGGGAACAGGGGCCTTTTAAGAGTCAACCTCCAGGCTCTGATCAAATGAATCTCTCCTCACAACATCGTTCCAAATCTTTCAAAGTGGAGACTTGGCACCATAGAACGAGGTTGATTCCAAGTAGAACCTTAAAATGATAAAGCCCGTAGGCTTAGCGTGGGACCTTTCATTGTATGACCCGCGCGGCTCGGACGGAAACATTAGACGTCGCCATAACACGTCTAAGTACTGGATTTTCACTTCTCGAAATTACCATTGGAGACGGCCTTCCCATGGAGACCTAAGATCTGAATAATTGACCTTTATCGAATGTCCCCGACAAGAGGATTAGAGAAAGTCCCGAAACGACGATAGCGGGTTGATCTTGCCCGTCGCCTATGGGAGGCACCCCCGGCAATTGGAAATTGCCTCGCCGACCCCCCTGAAGGGGGTCTCTGGGGGACCCCGCCTCCCGGCTCGAGGGCGCTTGGGCAATGAATCAAATCCGGGTGAGACCGCAGTTCGGAAAAGTGATTCGATACCAAATAAGTGGCATTTATGCAGATGAAATGCCCGTATTTTGCAACGAGCATCAACGCTCTCGTTTACTGCAGATCCTTCTGAGACAGCCGAAAATATGTATCAACGCCCCGTCGAGCTTGGTTCCCCCTCTGTGGGCCGCGTGTCGGGCGGGTTCGCTCGGGGCAGTCCAGCACTTGTTGACCCAGAGGTCCATTCAGATCAACGTAAAAGCCCCCTCTGGAACTTCGCCCCTTCACGTAGCTGTCATCAACCAACACTTAGAAATTGTGTCTCTTCTTCTCTCGCAAGGTGAAATCGCATTGAATGAGGTTGGGCCCTCGGGCCTCACGGCCCTCATGTTTGCTGCTGCAAGCGGGTATACTGCATGTGTTGAACGGCTGTTGCGCCACCCACAGATTGATCTCCAAGTTCAAGATCCTGACGGATACTGCGCTTTCAGCTTGGCGATACTCAACAGACATGCTCGGGCAATAGATCTTTTAAGCAGTGCATTTGTGCGGCAGAGAGCACAAAAATTAGGCTGGCCATCGGGCTAGCTTTACCAAGACTGACTGGGGGAGAAATAGAAAATTTGAGTAGAGTTACTTTGCCAGACTGCTATACCCCCCATCCTAGAGTCAGATGACTCGGAAATTGCTATGTAGCACAGCTCAGCGACCATGGACGTTAGCCCAAGCCCACTGGAAAATGCGGCCCGCTCAATCACCGACTTCCCCGCCCTAGGAATTGATACTAGAGTATATCACCCACAGGACTGCCTGTCATAAGACCCCATTGTTTCCTACCGTTTGCGCGTGATATAAGCGTGATCAGCCGCGAAACAAGATCCCAAAGCGCCGGATGGAAGCCTCTGTTCTAGCTTCAATGATGGCCCGCCCTCCGTCTAATGCATCGAGTGTATACAGTCGCTCGCCAGGTACACCAAAACCACACTCCTCAAGGGCTACGCCTGTCCCCGCCTGGGATGATCTTCCCGAGATTACACCACTGGACCATCGGATCTTTGTGGCGGGGATAACGACCATGGCATTAGAGACGACAAAGACACACCTCAGTACAGCAAAGAGCGTGGCACAATCCCCACTAGACCCAATCACTGAGAAGCGGAGCCAGCGTGATCAGCAAGCTCACGAAAATGAGTTCTTCCGCACCTGTTGCGCGAATTTCTGCCATCTAGCAACAGCCGTGGTTGACATCACACAAAAGCTTGTATTGGAAGAACACTTCCATTCCGACCAATTCGCCCCGATCAATGCACGCTTATGCCGGGCTACATTGGCTCTCTGGGCAGCCTTGGACGCATCAAGGGTGGAGGAGGACAGGGCGGAACGCATTTGGATGCAGGAATTAGATATGCCAACAGCTTCGGTGCCATCTTCCGAGTGGATCTAGAGGTTTTTGGCATCGTATACGATTGAAGGTCGAGCTGGTCGAGTCTTGTGTATTGGGGTCCTGAGATTGTTCAGTGAGTTGTGAAAGGCGAGGCAACAGCCCTGGATGAGCGTTTCGAATGCGTACATTCGTTTCAGGTATGATGTGAGGGCCAGTTGGGCAGTCAGCTACCCTGGTCTGACGACCAGCCTCGACGGTGGCAGTTGGCGGGCCAGGCTTTGTTGACGTGGTACAAGAAGGCGGTGGCAATCACTTCCGGATGGCGGACTGACCAATCATGGTGGCTTTTGGGGGTTCAACTTGGCAACCTCAGTTGAACCCCCTGTCGGGTTTTCCTGATCCTGGACCTGGAAATATATTATTCTAATACTTGTATGTGGTCTGTTTACATCGAAATTCTAATTAGAAAGTACGAATATTCATCCTCGTTCAACTCATTTGCCTAATAAACACAGTTCTGCCCTGTTTATTGGGTTATAAAATTCCTCAACATTAAGCCAAACGAAATATATATCTCAGACTTTAAGCAATCATATTAGAATAACATGTCACGATTTCTAGCAAATGACAAACCTCGATCTCCGAATTTGATCGCGACTGCAGATCTTACAGAGCCTCTGAGGCACTTGGGGATAGATATCCCGCTGTCACGTAGTCTGGTAATCATAAGGTTGGTCGGGTTGGTGAAAGGCGGGCCACGTGGAGACTCCGTCACTCTGCGGTCGGCCCGCGAATGGCCGTGGGACGCGTCGCGCCCGGCATCTTCCCAATAATCTCAAACAGCCGAGGGAATTGGCCTTTCAATATAGCACCATGGCCTTCTAGTCTAGTCATATTCCAACTACTTCCGGCTCTGTGGGTGGACGTGGTATGGTCGCTTCATGCCGTCCCTCTGCAGCCCGGCTTTCGTGTTCTGACCTAAGGGGAAAGACCCAAGGCTTCCAGGGCCTTCAATCAAGACAGCTTCGCGCTAATTGCGCGATCAGCATCCGGTTCGACGTGAACGTTGCATACTGAGGAGGGAGCAGCCTTTGGTGTCGCGCTGGCTCACCATCGATTGTGGGTGAGAAACCAACAGCTCAAGGATCGCGTCGCGTCTGGGCTCGAAGCCACCGTACGTCTTGGCAGCGAGAAGCAGTGCGCTGTCCCCTGCAAAGTTGGACCGATCGACATCGAGAGATCTGCTTTGCAAGAGGATCTGAACTGCAAGATGATCGTCGTATATCACCGCCAGATGGAGCGCAGTGTGACCTTGGCCATCTGTGATGTGAACATCGATTCGCGGGTCACCCAAGAGGATCTTCAAGATCTCGTGCTGTTGATACTCTAGAGCCGTGAAGAGCGTGGGCTGGCCCTTCGGTCCGCTGCTGTTGACATCGATGCCGTGTTGAAGGAGTTGAATCACGGCTTGCACATCTCCCCGAGCAATTGCAAAGAACAATGCATTCTGAATAGACCGTCTGCAGCAATGAGCAGCGGCACGCTCTTCGTATGACGGCGGAGAGCCTGCTAGAATGGGAAGTCAGCAGCCGCACTGACACTGGAATAAGATGACCAACCGATGGTAAAGAGGTGGTGCGACATCTCCGACATGTAGTGAGAGGCTGTTTCGGATGAGATGATGGAGGAGCAAGGCTCGACCTTGCAGTCCGGCCGAGTATTTGTAGGAGGCACTATGAACCATATTCAAGCAGTGTGCATTCTTCTGGCTGACCCTCTACTTTACATTTGAGCTAGATGGAATTTGGTTGGGGTAGAATCACGGAAAATGAGGCCCGTGGAACAGACAGGCTGTTCCCAGGAACTCTTGTGCTCCCAGGAATCTCCATGCTCTTCCTTAAGCGGAACGCCATGGATTCCTCGCATTTTCAACAAAGGCTTCTCACAGCGGGCCAATCTACTTGCGTCTAATATGTAGGCTAGTTGGTGCAATCCGCTGCCTCGATGGACTGGAATGCCTGCAGGTAGTCTATGAGAGCAATTTGGACCATGCAAAAGGCCCTGCTCCTGACTTACCCTCTAGCGTACATTCCACACTAGGCAGGAGCAGGAGGAAATATAAAAAGCTAGAAGGCACTCAGAGAGCCCAGTGATAAATTCTGTGCCTGCTACTTGTCTCATCTTTGATTGTCGATCTACATTACATTTAGTCTTTTCGCCATGTCTACCTTTTGGAACCCAGTCAGCGTTTGTGAGATTGGTGAGGATCTGGCCCACCAGGCTACCTGCTGCGGCATCACAGAGCGAGGTGCTCGCTGTAAGAATCGGATCTCTGCGAAGATGCTCAAGCAGAGAAAGGAGAAGCTGAGAAGCCTTGCTCGAGCACCTTTTCATGCGCAAACCCTGCAGCCGACATTACACAACATTGCAACTCATTTCCTGTGCTCCAGATGGCATCGAGATCGGCAAGTTGACCAGGTTAGTCGACGCTGGTATGATGCCGCTGTTCGCAATCAGCTCGGTAGCAACGTTGTGCTGGAACACGCGACCACGCTAAGCCACGAGGAAAGTGACCTGCGCCAACCTGCAACCCATCAGTTGGACCATGGTGTCTCATATGATACCAGTGAGACTGAGCGCGAGCTCCCGCAAGCAATCCAGCCTTATGTGTCCCCCGCGATGCTACGAGCAAACAATGTGCCGTGGGCTGTCTCGCCGGCACAACCCGCGATTGCGTCCGTTGCGAATATTTTGGCAGGAACTCAAGACCTGGAGTTACACTGTCTCGCTATGAGCCATGATGTGAACGACATTCATTGTACCTTTTGCCTGGCGGAAGATGGAGACACGACCGATGAAAATGTGATTCTCCGATGTCAACAATGCCACGCGCTATCGCACCTGTCCTGCATGGAACTCTGGCTGGAACAGCGCGACACAAGCTTTGACACCTCTTGTTGTGTTTGGTAAGTTCACTCGCTCCAATGTCATAGAGAGGGAATTCTGACAATCAGCAGCCGCAGTAATGGTGCTCTAGATGCCCTCATCCGTCCCATTAGGCGTCGGACTGACTCCGCTAGCGCGTTAATGGTAGGCCGGGACATAGACACGGGGCATAATTCGCAGCTAGAAGACACCTTGTCCACCGAGGATAGTACGACTTCCCAGGGCCGCATTGCTCGGTCACCCCGCGCACCAGCACGGGGCGAACCACCTCGTCGGTCGGCACGGCTGATGCGGAATGTCAGTAGCACTGCTTCGCTTCGACGATCGACAAGATTGGAGAATAGTCGACCGCGAGGCCGTGAGTGATAGCTTGACTTGTCTAGATGGTATTGATGGATAGTAGACTTTGTCTCATTACAGAACTAGGGCTATCAAGATATTCACTTTAATTTGCGGTCATCGAGACCAATGTTCATTTTCTTTTAGCCTGACAGCTAGGCTGCAATCCCATCAGAGACATAGTGACGTCAATATGCACCAATATTATGCGTAAGCCGACTATAGGAATAAGGAGAGTCTTGATCTCGCGTGCTCTTGAAAACCCCAATGATTGGAGTTCAGTATCTGCGTTGTCATTCCAGCACATAAGAGTGCTACCGGTCAGTTCAAAGACGCGTCAAATATCCAAAACGTTGAGAACTTTTCATTTTATCCAGGCTCCTTGGAAGGCCACTTGAGACTTGAAAATCATAACAATTTAAAGCAACTATAGCCATAGTTCGAGAAGAACGGAACAAATGCGGGTCAAGACCGCCTCCCATGTAGAAATTGGGACGAGCAGAAACGAAATACCAAAGCGCGGAAGCGGTTTGATAGACTCTTCCAAAGCGACCACGCGAAACATGTCTTCGAAACGCCACATCTAATCAACAACCACACAGCCGTGGTTTCAAGCGCCCTTCCCACTACGGAAACATTGTCGTCGCGAACCGTAGCACCGAGTTCTGTATCCCAAGAAGGTTGCGATGGCATTAGTTGTGACGTCGTCCAAAAGAAGGCCCACTGCCAACAGAGAGCCCATCTGAAGCGTAAGCCATCTTCTTCCCCGTCAAATGCGTTGATCCGAATACCATTGGCACTCAGCAGCAACTCCTTCGCAGGACAACAGGCTTCAGAGGCACTCCGCAAGACCTGACTGTCCTAATTTGGAGAACGAGAATTGACTGGAACTAGTATGAATCTTCAAAGTCTCTTGGAAGAGAATTCAGCGATGCCGAAGACCTTCGTCGCTTTCGCGGTATAGTCCATTGGTTGATTCTTTGGTTGGGATGCTGATTTGGGAGATGGGTCCTCAATTGACCGCCTCTCATACTTGAAGTTTTCACGGATTTCATGAAGTCCTTAGATATCGTATCAGATGGAATCAGTCGAATTGCAGTGATATGCGTAGCACCTCCATGGTATCCGGTTACTTCAATGGCGATGAAACTTGGCGTGATAGGCTCACCCGTGCTGTCTGTCAACCCCACCAAAACTCTCACCCCTTCCTTGGTGGGAGCGTCATCTGTGCGACCTTTGGAATGCAACATCATGCTGGCTTCCAATGAGTACTTGAGGCTCACGTGAGCTCCAATACACCCTTTTGAGTACGCACACAACTCTGCATCGATTGTCATCGCGGAGGTCGGTGGAAAAACTCGGTCACCATTCGCAAGTAGGTCGTCATCATGTACTGACCACACTATTGGCTGGAATGTTATTAGTGAGTTGCTCGAAAAGTTTCTCTGCTTTCCCATGCAGTAGACATACGTACCACATAGTACAAGGCTTCATGTGCCGGTTTTTGTTCACGCATATAAGGCAAGTGAATCTCGTGCGACGCCGAAAGGGCAGCAGCTAATGTCGCGATTGTCCCAAATCTGATGAGACTGGCCCACATTGAATCCGATACTTTGAGAATATTTGAAGAATATTTGAGAAACGAGATCAGCCGGAAGTGTGAGGTATTGCGCAAATCCTCCAGGGTGAGCTTTCGACAAGGAGACCTCCGTCTCTAGTAATTTCTCACTACTGACGAGGTTAAAAGACTGAAGTTCGCTGACCATACATGGACTACTGGGTGGTACGAATGAATATTAAAAATTACAATAGATGCCAACGTCGGAACAGCCACTCATGAAATGTCTACTCAAATTTTTGATCCTTTCTTGACTTGAAAATCCACCTTTTAATGCACCTGGAACGGGTGAGCAGTCAACAGTGTGGGGCTCAAGTTGAGACAACTGTTGAAGCAACGACGGGTGGCGTTGCCCCACCTGTAATTCTAGCATGGTTCAAAATATGCCCCGGCCGGTTGAAACGGGGAGGGGGGCAGGAACCAGGACGTCAAGAGGGGACCACCAGATCTCACTGAAGTTGCAAACTGGAATTCATGACCGATGGCATTGGGCAGGCTCGCTCGAAATGAGCTAAAATACATTTCTATACTCTGAAGTTCTTCTGAGATCGAATCCCTGCTTCAATATTGATTGCGAACGCGGGCTATGAATTGAGTGAACAAGAACTGCTGATTAAAAAAATTCCCGACAAATGCTGTAACTTGCTGAAATTTGTATTTCAATCAGGTCAGACACCCCATTGACGTATTCCAATTGCAATCAATCATCTTCTCCTCACTGTGTTGGCTCCCGCAAAATCCTCAAGCCACGCTTGCAGCTTCTTGGAATCTCACTGGTTGCCTTCCCGTCAACTTCGGCTGAGCAAAGAGAGTCACGATCATCAAAACCATCACCAAGGCCCCGAAGGCTGCTTCTCCAACTCCACCATAGTACATGATCTCGTAATATGGAATTTCACCAGCGTGGGAGAACCGTTCAAACGAGGATTGGTATCCATGTAAAATATCAGCAATAAGGCCACCTAAGGCGACGTAGCCAATGCTGACGAAAAATTGTATAAAGCCAAACAAGGCGAATGCGTCGTGGGATTTTGCGGCGCGGCTTGAAGACACGGTCAGCCCTATCCCAAATATCGCGAAACCAGTCGATGCAAGTGCACCAATTATCGCAGATATTAGCACTCGGTGCATCAGGTTTGTGAAAACATTGTCTGCGACACTGTCCCCGGAGGCTGCGAGATCGGATTTTGCACGATCTCGCAAGACAACTGCAAACCGGGCAATGGCTGAATCAAGGCCGGCAATAGCTAAGTTGATCACGATAAGAGAAGCGATGGCGAAGCGGATGCAGATCACGTCAAATATGGGTTGCAGTCTCATTTTGGTAGGATGTATAGAAAAGCGTGCTATTCAAAGGGTTGAAGATGCTCAGCTGGCAGAGACGAGATTTAGTCGACTTTTAAACTTGTTATGAGAAGAGATTCTGCTAATTTTTGATTGTTCCCAGGAACGGTAGAGCTTCCAGGATCCTCAATCACATTTCTGGGTGACTACGATATGATATTTCCCGAAAGGCTCTGGTCTACCAACACCACGGAGATCAAGCCGCACCAATCGTGTACTCCTAGGTATTCCATACTACAGAAATCCAGTTTTCGAGCTCGGGACTGTATCAGTGCAACCCATATTCATTCCAAAGTCGCGGGAAAATACACCTAGGCAGCCACCGCCCTGCGCACCTTCCGTGGCACTGATGCAAAAATCTGGTGCATGGGTTACTCAACGCGTTGACATAACCGCGTTCATCAATTCACTCAACAAGATCTTCACGACTGGGATGCTGCAGCTCTGCTTTTCCTCACCAGATGGGCGACTCGTTGCAAAGTTACGATCAAACTTACAGGCCACAACTTTTGCCACTTTTTTTGGGCAGCGAGATTCAAGGGTGCGCACAAGGCAGAACCGCCGATCATTATGTGAGTTGCGTCCACTGCCATCAATTTTTTGGCTAATGGCGCATAGTGTAGTCGGGTTTTCCCACATGTTGACTGAACTTGATTGGACAGTAATCATATACGAGTCCCAACTTTGCCGAAGGTGAAATCGACTGAGAAGATAAATTCACTCCAATTCCGTCTTATTCTCTGTCCCCTCTCATCTTCTCTGCATTGTACTCAGAAGTCCTCGGACACGACACTGTAACCACCATGCCTTCCAATAGCAGAATTCTCCCAGCAGCCACTGAAAGACTCAGTGGACTTTGGAAACAGATTTTTGAATTCGCCCTGATCATTGCTCTTATTTCTACGATCCTCTTGCGCCCTACGCATTCTGAAAAACTCAACTTCCACCCCAGCATAGCTCCAACCTTGTACAGCATGTCACTCATTACGACCGTGCTATCTTGTACAGTCTCCCTGATGATGGAATTCTATCGCGACGACTCCTTGATTCCGGATCGACTTGAGCGCATACTCATGGGGGTGCCGCTCGCCCTGCTCGACCTTTCTATTGTTGAGCTCATCGCGGGCATCTCGGCCTCCAGCGTCTCAGCAGAGCACCGCGGTATTCCCAGTTGGTATCCAAGGGGCATTGTATTGGGTTGCATATGCCTAGCAATATTTTTGGCGTACAGGCGTATCTGTCGAGCCAATTATGCTGTTCGTACTGGAGGTCTTGAATAATCAAGCAGTGAATAAAGGAAAGGTTCGTGGGCGAAGAATGGGGATGTGGATCAGATGTTCTTTCACTGCAATTCGCCCGCGCTTGAGTGGTGCGGAAGCAGATTGCGTTGGGACATCATCTGATATAGCGTAGTGAAGGCCCTAGAGTCAATATAATAAGGCTTCCACACTCTACATCTTTCTCAAAGGCACCATTGGGTCAGTGAACCTCGCTGTTGCGACGTCTAGGCTCTTTTGTATCAAGGTTATTTCCTAATCTCTCTCATATTTGCTATTGCTAAACCCTCCTCAATCGTAGCAGTTTAAAGCTCAATGAATCTCATTCTATGCATCCCTATCAACGTAGCCAATCCGAACGTTCAATCGCACTGGACCAGGCGCAAGGTTGCCACCGATGCCCTTCTCATATCTAGTCGCGAATGTGTAGGCATTTTCAATCCGAGCCGCGCTTTTGCTGACACTGGAGCAAACTCCTGTCACTGTATCACAAATCTTCATTCCCTGAACGTCTAACTGGGCGCTCTGAGCAGCAATTGCAGAGACATCAAATCCACTCCACCCAAGATTGATGCGCGAGCCAAAATCAAACTCTCCCCAGGTGGTCGCGTAACCCCCGTTAGTGTCCAATGGGATGTGAGACCCGCGCGCAGCTGCCCATCCACCTTGCGAGTCGTCATCGAACGCAAAGAAGCGAGTTTGGCTGCCTGTGAGGTGGAAGTCATGACAGGCGTTACCAAACCATCCGTTCATCACCCCATCTGGTCCGTATTTGTTCCAAATAACCACTGTCCAAGAGTCGCCGGGGACTCCATTGAACTGAACCACATGTCTGTAGTCATCTGCAGCGTGTGCAGGGATCTCGATGATGTTGTTGCCATACGGGATGCCAACATTCCCCCGATAGTTGTCGCCGCTACCGATTGGGAGCGTGCGCTGACCAAAACCTGCAGAGGCGTACCCTTGACACCCGGATATCTTTCTTCCATAGGCTTCTTGTGAAAAACTGTTTCCTGAGCTTCCATCGGCCCAAACCAGCGTGGGTACGATGATGCTCAGGAGAGCGACAGCGAGGAGTCTGGCGGTGTGCATTTGCTCCTACCATTCAATGTCGTTTTGATTGTTAATCAAAAGAACGGGGTAGTGAGGGGCAGGCTGCAATGCCAGAGAGGCAAGTGAAGCTTTTAACTGGAAGCCGTGTCTTTCTCTGGGCGACCTTTGATCCTCATCTTTTGATTACAAACGGGAATCAGTTTTTGGCTCGAAAGGAAGCTATGTCGTACTGAACCCTTTTCTTGTATAATAATCCAGCTATTGGAAAGAATTTTGCCTCGTGGATTTTGATAGATGCGCGTAGAAAGATAGTACAAATTGTAGTATGTTATTGACAACGGGCTTTGACAAAAAATAGATTCAAGGGGCGCCGACTTGCTCTAAACAGCTTTGCGATTTGCACTCAATGTTCGATTCATGGTAAAGTTGGGTGACAGCAGAGCCCCTTCTCTGTACCGGTGAGCTCTTCACTATGTGGACATATGAGGAGTCGGAAAGAAAACATACCAAGAACGCCTTCCACTTCATGTTGCATTATCATAGCTTGAATCTCTTTCCGCATCCATGCCAAGTTCTGATACGGGCTCTCAACACGGGAAAACACAAAAGAATCTCTTTCTACCGTTATTTCTGAGTCTCGACTGATGGTGTAGAGGTGACACTCTACCCAACTGACCTTGAAAAAAGCCGACAAGAAGAGAAAGACCTCCTCGGTGGATGTACTCGACGAAAGGGGGTCTGGGCCGTACCACGGGAGCCACGTTTGATTTGCGAGCACTAGATCGGAAATCGGACAGAGCACGCAGGATACGCAGTCATAGACTGCAATGGCTTTTTCTGAGATTTGTGGGTAGGGTGGTGAGCTCAAAAGAATGCTACTCGCAAGACGTGGCGATGGAGGGGGCGTGTCGATGAATTGCTCCCACAGAATGTCTAGTTCGGCCGAAAGGTCATTCACTATCAAGAATCAGTAAGCATGGCAGTGAGAATAATTTAGGATGAACGTACTTATTTGAGTAGGTTTTTCGCCTTCTATTTAGAGATGTGTCGCGTCGTACCTGCGGTCTGCCAGTTGCTCTCGGTAAAATGAATGCAGTGAGAAATTTACGACTGGGCGCTATTGTTAGGCCACAAGGAATATATAGAATAACAAAAGTGAGTCGGTGCATCTTACCATGGTTCGACGTTGAAAGCGAGGCCAGCAAAATGTGTAACCTCAAGGTCAAATAATTGCGTGGTCCAAGAGGCTGTTCTGGCTGGACCCACAATTCTTGGCTTGTGAATCAACGACCCTCGACAGTGATTAAACATCCGTGACACGACCGCTCACCACCCGAGCAAGTATTTGAGCAGCTATATTAAGTCTGGTACGCAGTAAAGTTACAGTTTTGAGCAGATCACTTTGTCAATCAAGCCGTTCTGCTATCGGAGGGTGGGAGAGGCCCGGAGTGCCGCCAGGGCATGTTTTGGCAGTGAGAATGACCAGGTCTTTTGGATGACCTGTTTCAGCAATCCGACGCAAAGTATAGCACATATGGTGAGCGTTATGCTGATCATCTCGGCTAAGCCTGGAAGTAAAAGCACGTTGAGTACCCACGGGCCGTCATTCAACAGTCCATAGTGTTGAGCGCACACCACGTCATTTCCTGGGCCTGAGAGTGGTTGGTCTCTTTCAAACAGGCTGCTATGGAAAAAAACCTGCACAAGGAGCCTTACTTATTGATGCCGTTTTTCTTTTTCAAAAAATTCCTTGCGAGCCCCTCACATATCTGCGATTCCAACCAGCTACAATGAGCGACATAGCAAGTGACAGGGCTTCCGAGCTGGGGTGCGACTTCTCAGATCCTAGTTCACAGCTCATCCGAGAGTTGCACGAATCTCAAGTCGGTGTAATCCGGAAGGGAATCAAAGCGTGGCAGAAAATAACCCTACACAGGTCGCCTAGCTACCTGAGTGATTGGGATGGTAAGAGCGCATTTCGCGAACTCTATCAGAACTGGTAAGTCCTTTCACCAAATCGCGAACACGAAGCTGACTCTAGACAGGAAGGATGCCATCATGGAGACACACAGACTACACAGGAAAGAATTCAGACCGATACTCAGAGACGAAGGGCACCGCATCATGATCCTCGTTCCGAGGCCATCGCCTGACGAGCAGTCTTCCGAAGCTCTGGGGTTTATCAAATATCAGAAGAGTAACGGCAGTATCACTTTAGTCAATTCCAATTCGTCTCTGCCGATCGAGGCATTGGGAATCGGATGGTCTTCCAAGAAGGGGCCTGATTCGATCGGACGCCACGGCGAGGGCCTGAAGTTGGCTGCCATGGTCCTCATTCGAGAGGGCTACCAGGTCCGCATGGCAGCTAGCCGGACCAACTGGACATTTTCATGGGACCAAACTGCATCTCAAGTGAGCTGTTCCTTGCGTCCTTCTTTGCAGAAGGAGGCTCCAGATGGTGCAGATGCCGCAATCCACATGGATCGGCTGCGTGCTCGTATTGACAGGGATGTCTCTGTGACCATCGCTAGTAGTCAAGATCAGTTACCAGCGGAGACATTCCTCAATTGGTTATCAGTCACCATGGATATTCGCGGACTGAACTACCCAGTCACTGTTGCCACCACCGACTACGGCGACGTGATTCTAGACAGGGAGATGAATAGAAAAGATTTTCTTCCAAGGGCTTCTTGTATCATCCGTGGCATCACTCTTTAAAGGTTACAAGCTCAGCTACAACTTTGCACACGGTATGTTGACGCGTGACAGACTGTGGGTGGCCAACCAGCAGAGTGAGGCTAACTTGGTTCGGAAGATTTGGGAGTGTGCACTAACTCAACATGGTAAGGAGCTGCTGCCGATTTACGTTAGCCTCCTTCGACATTTCCCAAATTCTGCCGATGTAGCATTGGCAGACCGCCTCCTGGAGGCGTCGACCAGGCATCTGATCTGGCAGCACCTTCTGCGAAATTCAAATAACCGCGAATTTTTCTATGATGGGAGGCTGTCGTCACAGGTAAGTCTCAGCAATCTGAATGGCATGTCTTTAATGCTGACTCTCCAGACCGCAGAAATGATTCGGAAGCACACAGGCAAGCAGTCGGTGGCGCTACCTCCGCCGCTCTGGGAAATGCTTCGATCGAGCACGTCCATCCGAACTTTTGAAGAGGAACAGACGAAGCGATTTAAGGATGCACCTCTTGCCGAGCATCCGACAACCACCTTTGGCCAGACTGTTGCGAGAGCGGTGAGAGCGTGCATGGCTCTTTTGAGTGCCACACAGAATATCGAGGTATAATTTGTCCAAACCAACGGCAAAGCAATTGACGTATGCTTTGATCGACAGGATAACATACTGAAGATCCGTGGCCTGTGGCTTGACTTCCAGAGTGTGCACGGTGGGGGCTCATGCTGTTATGAGTTGGATGCGGGTATGGTAGGCCCAGACGTGGCCTTTTTCTGTGATCACACCATCGAAGAATTGATGCTTCGGGCTGTAGATTCTGTTTTCCAGAGTTCTCCTCCTTTGGCGGCCACCAAAAGACGATATTTAGGCCATATCAGGCGTATCTTGAGGTTCATGCCGCAGAGGATCGAATCCTCATATCAGCACTACGGCTTGGTGTTCACCTGGGAGAACCACAGGATCCGCTCAGTGCAAATGGACCATGATACTGCAGCGCAATACCACGTTGTCCTCCACGAAGAAAAACGTATTGCGGAGCATTCCTACAAATTACTCCATACCAAAAGTAAGTCCCGACGAATCGACTGACATGATCCATTATTAACATTCTTAGTTACGGATGCCAGCGAGCCTTCACCATGCGGATGTGCCCAAGGATTAGTTTCAGAGCCAGATATGCTCTGTGCGTTCCAGCGTTTGGATAGAGCGAAGCCATATTTTGCCATGATTGCGTTGAACGAAGACTCGTCATGCTGATATGCTGGGACTGTCTTCAGCCTGCATCAGAATAAAGAGTTCTTTGAGTCAAATGGGCCTCAATTAGTTGTCATCGTTTACGAACATTTGAACAGCAGCACTTAATCCTCTCGCAGGCCGAGGCCAAAAGTGTGGCCACCCAAAATCCTCCTGCTAATTATTTCCCTTCATCAACTCAGCAGGAGGGTATATGATGGGATCCGTCCATGCTTCTTGTGGCCTTATCTCGTTCTTGCTGTGCACATCCAAATTCGCACCTCAGCCGCTGCAATGTTTCATCTCAAGGCTGTCTCCATCATTATGGCTGTGGGTTGGGCTACGGGTCATATGATTTTAAACAGCCCAAAGCCATTTGGCAAGGCAACGCTCAACAATTCCCCACTCGCAGCAGATGGGAGCGACTTTCCGTGCAAGCTACGCCCGGGTGCATTCGAAGCGCCCGAGGAGCAGAATATCGTCGGCGTCGGAGAGACCTATCCCCTTTCTTTTGAAGGAGGCGCCACGCATGGCGGAGGATCCTGCCAAGTCAGTTTAACGATGGACCGAATTCCGTCTAAAGACTCGGAGTGGTTGGTCATTAAATCTTTCGAGGGCGGCTGTCCGGCCAGTACTAGCGGTAGCATTGGAAGTAGCGCGACAGCTATGGATCCCTTCCAGTTCAACTTTACCATTCCTGAGAGCATGGAACCGGGGGATTACACGTTGGCCTGGACGTGGTTTAATCAGATCGGCAATCGTGAAATGTACATGAATTGCGCCCCCATCACAATCACCGGTCTACCCGCCAATGGATCGCAAACACGGCCTTCTTTCCCACCAATGTTCATCGCGAATATCAATGGTTGTAATACTACAGAGAACGTCGATATCCGGTTCCCCCACCCAGGTAATGCTCTTGAGTACAACGGCGACCCGGCAAGTTTGGCGCCCCTGAACCTGCCTGCCTGCACAGGAGTCCCGCTTTTTGGCGACCGCGGCGTAACAGCCTTGCAAGTTCCCCCGACAAGCGGCTCGCATTCACCATCTCCATTTATGACTTCTGCAGCACCTTCCTGGTGTATCGCTCGGCCTCCCACTGCCTGAATGTCTGGATGACTGGCTTGGCAGTCATCTTTATGGCTAGGCACGAGCCACGCAGGCCGCGTTTTCATGCTTCAGGACGAGTTCAAATGAATTTGCGATTTCCTCTTTTGCCTTATCGATCCACTAAAACCGAATTTAAATGTTGCTTACCAATTTGAGAAATGTACTACCTGATAGCTGCAGATCAACAGTGAACCTGCTTTGTAGCCAATCTTCGATCGATGACCACATATGAGTCTTGAATAACAAATGCTGACAATGCTGACCAAGAAAAGTATTTAGTAGTGAAAATCTATCACATTATTGTAAAGTATACAGGGAGTTGACAGAAAATCAGTTCAAAGCTAAGTAAAGACATGCGACAGTTTCCTCGTGTTGCAGATCACAATTTCCAAGACGAGGTATTCAATCATATCAAATGCAAAACTTATAGAAAACGCGGGGAACTCAGCCTTATGGGCTCGTGAGCTTCAATCTAAATCAACCCCATGCTCAGGAGCGGCGCCGCCTTCAACCTTGGTCGCAGAGCTAGCGACACGTTTCCGCACCTCGCCGCTCAATTCAGGATCCAGATTTGTGAGCAAGACCTTCATCAACGATCCGGGATTTCGTAGCTGAATTGATGAACCGTCGGTTGAGATCAGTTCTTCGCACTGCCTTGCCGCTAGCAAGACCAGCCGTAAGAGATTCGCAGCGTTGATGAGGCTTATATGGGAGCGAATCGGAGAAGATAAATGACGAACTTTGGGAGAAATTGCCTTAATGATGCCTTTCCAACTGGTTATGAGTTGCCTCTTTGAACATATCCGAAGTAGCGGAGCATGGCGTGCCTTTCGTACGGATCGTCGAAATACCGTCGAATTCCCGCTGCTGGAGTGTGATTGGGCGCGGATTTGTGAATTGGACATGGGTAGACGCCTTTGGCTCTCTTCCACTGACTGGTCCATCTCAAAATAGTCTTTTTTATCCGGGTAGCTGGATAGAAGGCTGTCCTCTCGAACCGTCCCGGTACCAGCTTCTGATCGCACTGCGACCAACCAGAGAATGAATACCATTGCTCTAATCACCATTTCTTCTTGTGTAACGGTACGGTGTTGATGACACGGGCCCTGACGTCTGACGACCTGGTGCAAACGTGCCATCATTGATTGCATAGAAAACACACGTCAAATGTCACAGGTAGTAAGTTCAGGACAAGGAACACTGTGCTAGGTCTTATAGTAGACCTATGTGGCATTTTTCGCTAAGAAGAGCGTGATCGTTGTATTTTCGTTACGAAATTGAGGCGTCATATGAAAATGAAGGTGTTGATTTAGATTGCAGGCTCAACGCGAAATGTCGTTGATGCCCGTTCGAATTAGCCATAATGGGCAACAATCAACACTTCTGGTCGAGCGCTCAGAGTTGGACGCTCAAGTGTTTCATAAAGTGAGAGTGATCAACCGTTGAGGGGTTTTCGCCGGCAATGGTAGTGCGCGAGTTTCTTGGTACCAGCATATGTATATAACTTCGTTTTCACGCTGCATTCGAAAATACTGATCCAGCCCTAACATCTCAATTCCCAATGGCACCAGTGTCTACCCGTGTCCAGAGAGAACAACTCCGCAAGCGTCGGAATAATCTCTTGCGACGCCACAACGATTTCTGGCGTTTGTATGGAATCAAGAGTTGGCTAGTCATGGAGTCGCCCGAAGGACAGATCTTCACGTACCACTCGCACCCGAGTATTCCGTCGCCTTCAGGAAAAGACATGGTAAGTTTGCAACTCAAATCAGATCTCACAGTAGTGCTCACAGTAACCAGGAAACCCGCCACAAGCCAAAGATTGCAAGAACACCGCACGACTATGATTCTGCGCCAAGCTTGGACACTCTTGGAGGCAAAGTTCCGGCTCTGCAGATCCCTATCCGCCGACCGGCTTTATGGAGGTCACTGGCCTGGTATTTGAAGAAGGTCGCTTGAGAGCGAGAGTCGGTGAACATGCTGTGACCTGTACTTGAATGACATGACTTTTCGTTTGCTGAATATTCACGTGTGACGTGAGGCCATATTAGTACCCATGCTTTGATCTAGAGCATAATGATTGTGAATAATGTATCTACATTGAGGCTGCAGAAATGACAAAAGCTGAGAGACAAACCATTATAAACTCTAATGGAAGTAGATATATAAGCAGTTCGAATATGAGAGCCCACGTGTAGCCAGCCACATGAAATAGTGCTAAATAGCAAAGACACTACTTTTGCGTGAGAGTGAATGATTTTGCCAAACACGAGATTTGGCGTTAAAGAATTACCTAGTATACGTCTAAGACAGAGCCCAATTGCTAATCAAAAAAGTATCCTTTGAAACTTCTCAATTTACTTGACGTAAATAGTAGGACCTCGCAAATCCCAATCACCAATCAAGAAAGACCTTTGGTCTCGTCGAGTGGTACCATGACTTGTGAAAAGCGCCTCACCCTCACAAGCGTCGCTTTTTGTTAGCCACGGAAGGCTCCACAATTTGAAGCTTCCGTTTACTCCGACGAAAACAATTGCAGGAGCGCATACGTGGCCAGACGGAATTCTGGTGGTCCGCGCGTCCAAAATGATCAAAGGCTTGTTGCTCCTGGAGCAACTCCAGTAACGATTTGGGAAAACCGCCGATCGTTTCGCTGTGGCAGTCATTGGCTATTTGAATGGAGAATCTCTCCTCTAGGCTAGACACAGCAAAAGAGAGTCCTTTTCTGAAGTGGCCACAGGTAAGACAGCAGTCCTCAATGTCCAGGCATTCTAGCTTGTGACCGTTACTGATCTGGAGCCACGCATGAGGAGATTCAACGAGAACGCGGCCAAGGATTGGAGCCGCTTCTGGTCGTGAGCACAGCACTGAGCCTTTGCAAGAGAAGCCGGCATGGGTCCGCACGGGGATATCGTCTAGCTCGAAGAAGAACATGCCCCTGGCGAGCACCTTGCGAACAACATGGTCGCTCACGGGGAAGTCCATCATTGAGAATTCTTGAAGCGCGCTCACATCGTCGAGATGAGGCAATGGGCCGTCGATTTCCTGATCTAGTCGCAAGATTCTGTCATGTGAGTCAGTGGGGAAATAGTTCAAAGCTTCCGCAAAACCTTGCGTTCCATCCAAACAGGGGGAAGACATCATCGCGCGCCATAGTCGAGGCAGGGCCCCTTCCCAAAGCCACCCCAATAGGCCCGATTGAGGCCTGTGCGAGGACCGCGAGAAGCCAGTTCCGACAGATAATATGAGGTCGAATGTCGAGGATGACGGCCAGATGACGCTTGTTTCCCGCATGGCAATCGCAACCGGGTTGTTCGCGCGCACCCCGCCATCTTGGAACGGCCCAAACTCTGGCAAGGTTGTGGTGTGGAAATAACTACAAGAGGCACTCAGCATTTGGTCAAGTTCATTCATGGCTGGTCACTCACAATGGGGCCGCTACGCTGCACATTGCCCTGCACAAAGAAAGTGAGCTGCTAATTGCCTATCCCAAATATGATCGATGATCAGACATAGAAAATCACTTACGCATCAGCCAGCAACGGACCTTCCGGACTGTTCGTTACCAAAAATCGATAGGCAGCCGATGCACAACGCTGGCCACAGCCCCGATAATTGGCCAAAACGCATGCCTTGCCATCCGAGGTGCGACTTGCCACAAGTGCCACACGACAGCCTGCCGGGGATGTCCTGGCAGGGGCAAACATGTGGTGTTCAGGGCCGACGGCTTCCTTCAACGCCCCCGATAACTCGGAAGAATCATAGAGGCCACCTGTCAGCAGATTGAACGCGGACATCATCCATCGAAAACAGCGAGGTACCGGGAGTCTCGCGCGTCGGAAGATTCTCTGCGCAAAGCTTGGAAACACGTCAAGGCATTCATCGAGCGATCGGTCGTTGAGGAAGAGGTTGAT